TGGAGTACTTGTGACATTTGACTGCAACCTTCCAGTAATAAGACCACACTCCACGCTTGAGCTGCTTTTCGGCAGAAAAAGTGCTCAAGCAGTGAGATGCAGATTGTGGCATGCAGACATTGTCAGCCTCAAGAGATCCATTCTATACTCAGTTCCATGCGCAAGTGGACCGAACTGCCTACTGCCTGTGGCGCTGAAGCGCGCTACTGGCCTTGTACGCCAGGCTGCGCTGGCCCTTGCCGACATTGCAGAGGTCGATCTGCAGATGTTGTGACGCACGAATGGATCTGTTTTCAATGAAACGTCTTAAACCATCTTAAGACATCAGACAGATTAGGAGGGAGTGCTCGATGGCATAGATTCAGATTTGCACAAGGTAGCTGGGAACCATCAAGACCTTTTGGAGGCGCGGGGTTCCATCGACCAGGGAAAAATCCAAGCAGAGCATACATCGATACCACAGTCATCCACAGCCAGTAAAGGTCGAGCATGTTAAGAGCCCGGTTGCTTCACATCTGACCCAAAGGTCTTTGAGAAGTTGGCCAAGGATGAGCAGGACTCTGCTGGAAACCTCAGAAATCAATAAACATATCATCCATTGCATCAAATTAAGATGATTTGAGATGACACAATTGAATCCATTTGCATAAATCACAGGCTAATCACAGGAGAATAAAATCTGTTTATCGAATGATATGACTAGGACGTACCAAGACTATAGGTTAATATAATATATATATATATATAAAATAGGTTATTATTGATGTTCCTTTCATCTCGACGGATTAATTTGGAAGTGCTTCGTCTGAAGGTCCGGCTCCTTGCCATCAACAACTGCATCGCCCTGGGACGGATTGCATCCGCTCCAGAGTGGAAGGAGAAAAAACAACAACTGCAGATTGCTACAGATTGCTACAAATTGCTACAGTAACTACAACGCAGAAGTTCTGGACCGTTGTAAAATATGTTAAACATTGTTAAACTGTTTCGAACTTGTTTTGCATTTCGACTTAAAAGGTCGAGTCGCAGAGGTGAGATCAACCAATGTGGTTTTTGTTCCAGACATCAGCAGCCGCACAAAACGGTCCAATGTCTTCATAGAAGTGTGGCAGTTACCTTGGTAGCAATGAACATCAATGAACAACATGAGCCATCCGAACATCATCCGCAAACCATCTTGTAGCAGTTCCCGCAGTGTGTTTTTTTTAGCCGTCAGATGAACAGAGGAGCAGATCATGGAAGTCCTCAGGGCCTGTGCAGAAGAAAAGAGTTGGAGGGTCCGCTACATGATGGTCTGGGTGCCAAGAGATGAGATCGAGCGTATCCTGACTGAAATGTTCCGAGCAAGAGATGCTTGGTGAATATATATCATAATTTTATACTGATATACTGAAATCAACATTTTGCCATCGAAGATGTTTTGTTTATTGTTTGTTTGTGTTTATTGTGTGAGACTGCTGTTCTCAAAAAGTATAGCGACACTCTGGAGAGAGCTGCAGTGAACCAGCTGGTAGAAGCCTAGGCGGACAACGTCAAGGCATTGTGCGAGGTCTTCAAGGACTGCAGCGTTACCAATCTGAACAGCACCACGATAGAACATTGGCTAGACGGGCAAGTCTGACGCAACTTTGGTTGCTGCTGTAAATCAAAAAGACAGGTATAGATAAGTAGATGCATACAACTGCTGCTGTAATACTGCTGTATTTGTTGACTCGACAGCGCTTTTGTTCCTTTTTGCTGGAAGGACCAAGCAATTGACGTAATCATACCGTCCCTGGGCCATCGATTAAGGGTTGAATGATTGGCATTTGAAGCTGTCCAGTGATACTCGTACACCGCAAAATATTCGTATGAAAGCAGGTGAAATCTCTAAGTACACTCCGATTTGCCATAAAATTAGATACAATTAGTGGGCAAGAAACCTTCCCCACCAAGTCAAAGGATCCTCTCTTCTATACTACTATGATCTACTATGCACTTATCCCTGATCTTCACAAGTTGAACACTTGGCAAGTTGGCGATCGCTTTTCAGCATAGTCACAACATGGACTCCAACCTCTTCTACAGTCTTACATCGTACCTTGTTGATGTGTGAGAAAGTCTTGAATCGGCATGAACATGCAGGTTGTGTCCTGATGTTTCAACATTTGTAAAGCACGCTTCAAGGCTTTACTTGCGCCTCCTGGTTGATGCCGAAGTTGAGGCGAGGGACGGGGTTGCAATGGAACTTTACCGCCTCAGAAATTTTTGGTCCACGAAACTACTGCCTTTGGGATTCTCTGGGTGACTTGCTGAAATTCTCATGATTCAAGACTAGCAAACTGTTCCGTCAACGAACCCATTGTGCAAGGTATTTGGAAGTAGCACTTCTGCGGTTCTTGCTGTTCCTTGATAAAGGTCTTCCAATGGAGTTCTGTTCACGGTCACTGTTCACGTGGTGAAGGTGAGCCCACCAACATCCCACTCTGCCAGGTGCGCACCATCGCGGCTGCCCGTGTAGCGGGTGTTGCTGCGGTGAATCCTAGCAAGGTGTGCCGCCTGGGCTTTGGGGCTGCAGATCTTGAGAATTGTTGGATTCAAGATATTGAATGATATTGATAAGTATTTGATAAGTTTACATAGTGATAGACATTGATAGATATTTGATAGATATTGTGAGCTACTGGGTGGCTGCTCACTGTATCCATCAGTATGATTCAAATCCAGTATGTCTGGAGGATTCTGGAGGTGTGAGTCCAGGACCGAAGCTCCTGTCAGTTGGTGTGTGGTCAGGCTTTCCTGGAGCAGCTTATGTTTGACTCCAAGGGGCCACCTGTTCGAGAAGCGACGCAGATCATACAGTTTAGCGCATGGAAGTCTCCATTCAACAATGAAAGTGACAAGCAACACCACCAATTATCGTTTAGTAGAACTAGAACAACCAAACGCGCAATGCAAATACATAATAATACAAGTGTGAGATAAATTAAACACATTCATGCTGTCATGAGTAGCTTGAAAGTAGAACAGCAACGCCTTCACAGACGGTTTCTGTTGCAACTTAAGGCCTGCTTTGGAGAAGCTGACTGCTCCCAGGGAGCAGTCCCAACATGTTAGGGCCTCCTTGGCATCGTTGGGCAGCCGAGGAACTCGTTGAACGATGGCCATAGCTTCCAGTCACTTCCAGTCACTTCAGGCTTCCAAGTCAGGCATCCATCGGAGATCAGTTCACTTTCGTCTCAATTCAATTCAATTCATAAGCATCCCTTTCATCTCCGAAACTGCTGGTGTGAGGCCATAGGGGCATGCATTCCCTGCCCGGAAAAAGACACAACAGCCGTCACACAAAACAGCTCAAACATCTTTCAAACAGATGCAGAACCACACCAAATGAGAACGGATTAATTTAGACAGGAGCGACACTTGGATCCCAATTGGACTTTGGATGTAGCTTGGAGTTAACCGTTAACCACTAGATTCTAGTACCAGCTTGTAAAATCTTCCGTAAGAATGATGCCCGGGACTTTGCTGAGGAGTGTTTTGGAGCTTTGTTCGATCTTTGGACAACAGCTCACAGTGGCCAGGGTACTCAGGCTGTACATCCATTGGACTTGGCCACTTTTCAAGTTGGAGAATCGGATTTGCTGGAGCTCTCTGAGCTTTCCTGACTCGATGCCTTGAGTGCCTTGAGAATCTGCTAGTGCCATGAGTTGGGCACGTCCTTCAGAAAGCACTAAGGATCACCTTATTGACATTTTCCTGCAACTCATCAGGCTGGCCCACTGGAAGCTGCAAGCTGTTGATCGATACCATTAATAGACTACAGTTAGTTTGTACGTCCTACAAACTACATCAAACTACATAAAACTACTATCAAGTTATATCAGTTATAGATATATCATATCATATGAATCTATCATCGATCTACTGTCTACTACCCAACCCATCTACGCAATCCACAGTTGGTTTTGGACTACGGCACCTTTTAGTTGCTTTGGGGGGTTTGTTTGGTGGTTTCTGAGGTGGGTTCTGAGGTGGGCAGGCAATCACCAATGGAACTGCACAACGTGTCATAGAGGTCACCATTGAATTTGGATGGCCCAAATTGGCCCAATTCCATCCAATTCTTCTATGAGACCCGGCTGCTGCCAAATTCTCTCCGCAGAGCAGTCAAGACAATGAACGTGAGTGTGTATGAGATGCGAACTGACACCCAGCAGTCGTCTACTATCACAAAGGATTCACAAGGACTATACTAGATTCAGTGATCATTTTGTGAATTTTGGTTCAGCCCGTGTGCCAAAGTCAATGAGTTTTTAATCATGCAATTTGTCGACTTGCGAGTTGCCTACTGTAGCATCCTTTGTGTGACAGGGACGAATGCCCCGAAGTTCGACTTCAACTGCTAAACAACTTGGAGCACCTTTCTTCCACAGTCCTGGAACCCAGATCTCATAAAAAGCAGCAGACTGCTGCAGATTCTCCTGCAAGTATGTGGAAAATTATAGAAGGCTGATTAAGGATGCAGACTTCCAAGACTTTGGATTTGCTTTGAAATCATACCACATCGTTGATACTGCATGCTTCCCACAACCCATGAATCACATCATAGATGCTGAGAAAATAAAGCATGCTTTGGAGCTGCTTTTGCACCTTTTTCGGATACGAAGGTTCAAGCAATCGGCAACAAGCCGCGCTTTGACAAATGGATGCAAATGGGCAGCAAGCCTGAACATATGTGACACGCACAGTATCGAACAGCTACAAATTGCAGAGCCCCTTGTTCCCATGGGTACCTCATTGCTTCAAGATGATTCAGTCAACGATTCCTGTTAAATGACCATTCTGATATCAGGGAATATAGGACTTATATGGACTTATTAGGGCATGGTCACTGTGTGAAACACATCAGAATCATTCAGAATCCTACCAGGGAGAAGTCACACATTTGACCCGAGCCATCCCGAGCCCTCACATTATCTGGACCTTTGAGCTTCTCTCCGAAGGGAGACTCGGAAGCCATGACTGCCATGACAGACGCAGACCCAGTGGACGCGAGGCCCCACACGCCTTTGTGGACCTTGAAGGCATGTCAGCTGCTTGGATCAGCTGCGTGGGCATGTTTCGGCCGATTTATCAATGTCTTTTGGTCGGACATTGGTGTCACACGCACGGAGGTTGGTATCTTGAGCTTGTCCAACTTGGTGGCAGCCTTCATAGGTCAACTCTTTTGGTCTATGGTCACCGATAGATTGGGAGAGTACAAACGAGTCTTGGTGGGCACGTCCCTTGCAGGGACGGTGATCATCTTCTTTAACATGGTCCCTGCAGTCCAGAGCAGCTTTTGGTTGTTGGCAGCTGTTTCTGTGAGCTCTTCCTTTTTTCTCTCCACAGGCGGTCCAATCATCGATGCAATGTGCGTCTCAGTCTTGAAAGAGCAGGAGAGTGAGGAGCAATATGGCGACCAACGTCTGTGGTGTGCTGTGGGTTGGGGTGGCATGAGCCTCATAGCAGGTCAATTGATCGACACCTTTGGCATTTCCTTCATGTTTTGGGGATTCGCTTCAATCCAGTCGATGTATTTGAGCGTGTGCTTGTTTTACATGCCCATGGCAAAAGACCGCGGCCAGCAGAATGAACAGACAGTGAGTCTGAAGCAGTTCTTGACCTTTGATGTGGCTTGGTTCTTTGCCAATCTCTTTGTGTACGGCCTGGCAATGTCGGTGGTCGAGAATTTCTTGCTGGTTTTCCTGAATGAGGACTTTGACAACACTCCAAAGCTGCTCCTGGGAGCAAGCACCGCCATGATGTGCTTCTTTGAAGTTCCAGTCTTCAAGTATGTGGAGAAGGTTTGGGCCAACAACAAAGATAGACTTACATCTGTCCTCATGGCATGCAAAGTTGTTTTGGCTTTTCGTTGCATTTGCTACACTCTGCTTCCAGCTAGCAATCCGTGGCTGGTACTTTTAATCGAACCCTTGCATGGCTTCACATTTGCTGTGACTCGTGAGGAGTTTCATCCACCCTTTCGTATCCTTTCGTATCCTTTTCCTCTATTGTAGCCTTTCTAAGTCTTTCTAAGTTTCACGCATACAGTCGAAGAATGTTATGCAGAACTGTAGAGTATGCGACTCAGGACCAGTTGGCTACATGAAAATGGGATAGACATTCAAGCATTGCTTCAGTTTACTTTCAAATTCCAAGGACTGTTACTTGTTCATCCTTGCATTACTGTAGTGATTGTTGTAGTTCACTATATAATTATACAGTACACATACTTATGAATTCTTAATAGTAGATAAATCATAAATCATTCATTTTTGGATTGATTAGAATTTATGTCATCCGGATTTTCATGGTTTTCATGCTTCCTTCAACTTCCCAAGGCGATGTGGTCTGCCACCGTGGAGTATGGCCAACGAATAGCTCCTCCTGGCTGCGTTGCTCGAATGCAGGCCTTGGTGAACGGTCTCTACAGTGGGGTGGCTATGGGCCTTGGCACTGCCATGTGGGGTCCTTTGGTGATGCAACCGCCAAAAGGCTCGGGCTTTTGGAATTGCTTTCGACTCGATGCTGCAGCCATTGTAATTTGGGGCATCATTTGGCAGATGGGTCTGATGATCAGACGCCGAAGCAAGGCAGCCAGAAGTGCTGCCATGATCACCGCTGAACAGCCTTTAGCTGAGATTACCCCCAGCGCGTAGGGTCTTGTAACAACTTTTGGGCAGGTCCTTCGCTTTTTGCTGGAAGATCTGGAAGCTCTTGAGATCTTTTGCGACTTTAAAAAATGACCTGACCGATGCTTTCAATTCCAGCGAGTTGAGTCATCACGAATCTTCGCGGACCCTTGAAATCCTTGAATGGATGGGGATGGGGATCCTTAGTTTCCAATGCAAAATTCATGACCTACCAGTGACCAGATCAATTTGAGTGCAACTTTTTCCATGTCCACCTGTGAAAGAAAGAACTGACAGACTCTCATCAGGGGATATCGAAGACCAGTCAGGCTATTCCTTTTCCCTGCCAGCTGGTTCAACACATTCTCCAAGATTAGTTGTCAGGCTGCTGGGTGGCGGCCCTGCCTGACATCTTGCGGTGAGCTGTCAATCAGAGCATCCAACAGAAAAACACACTGCAACAACATTGGTGTGCACATGCATGGTGCTGCTGGATGCTGCTGGTAATCCCTTTGCAATGTGCTTCACTGCTTCAATTGAGCTGATCAATCGAGTGAAAGGCCAGCAGATATACTTGATGCTGCACAATCATGTCATCTTGAAAGCGGCCATTCCTTACGGGGATATAATGTATATATAATGTATATTATATGTTGTATAAGGGGATATCGAAGACCAGTCAGGCTATTCCTTTTCCCTGCCAGCTGGTTCAACACATTCTCCAAGATTAGTTGTCAGGCTGCTGGGTGGCGGCCCTGCCTGACATCTTGCGGTGAGCTGTCAATCAGAGCATCCAACAGAAAAACACACTGCAACAACATTGGTGTGCACATGCATGGTGCTGCTGGATGCTGCTGGTAATCCCTCTGCAATGTGCTTCACTGCTTCAATTGAGCTGATCAATCGAGTGAAAGGCCAGCAGATATACTTGATGCTGCACAATCATGTCATCTTGAAAGCGGCCATTCCTTACGGGGATATAATGTATATATAATGTATATTACATGTTGTATAAGGGGATATCGAAGACCAGTCAGGCTATTCCTTTTCCCTGCCGGCTGGTTCAACACATTCTCCAAGATTAGTTGTCAGGCTGCTGGGTGGCGGCCCTGCCTGACATCTTGCGGTGAGCTGTCAATCAGAGCATCCAACAGAAAAACACACTGCAACAACATTGGTGTGCACATGCATGGTGCTGCTGGATGCTGCTGGTAATCCCTTTGCAATGTGCTTCACTGCTTCAATTGAGCTGATCAATCGAGTGAAAGGCCAGCAGATATACTTGATGCTGCACAATCATGTCATCTTGAAAGCGGCCATTCCTTACGGGGATATAATGTATATATAATGTATATTATATGTTGTATAAGGGGATATCGAAGACCAGTCAGGTTATTCCTTTCCCTGCCGGCTGGTTTAGCACATTCTCCAAGATTAGTTGTCAGGCTGCTGGGTGGCGGCCCTGCCTGACATCTTGCGGTGAGCTGTCAATCAGAGCATCCAACAGAAAAACACACTGCAACAACATTGGTGTGCACATGCATGGTGCTGCTGGATGCTGCTGGTAACCCCTCTGCAATGTGCTTCACTGCTTCAATTGAGCTGATCAATCGAGTGAAAGGCCAGCAGATATACTTGATGCTGCACAATCATGTCATCTTGAAAGCGGCCATTCCTTACTAGTACGGGGATATGATTTTGATATAATGTATATTATATGTTGTATAAGGGGATATCGAAGACCAGTCAGGCTATTCCTTTTCCCTGCCAGCTGGTTTAACACATTCTCCAAGATTAGTTGTCAGGCTGCTGGGTGGCGGCCCTGCCTGACATCTTGCGGTGAGCTGTCAATCAGAGCATCCAACAGAAAAACACACTGCAACAACATTGGTGTGCACATGCATGGTGCTGCTGGATGCTGCTGGTAATCCCTCTGCAATGTGCTTCACTGCTTCAATTGAGCTGATCAATCGAGTGAAAGGCCAGCAGATATACTTGATGCTGCACAATCATGTCATCTTGAAAGCGGCCATTCCTTACGGGGATATGATTTTGATATAATGTATATTATATGTTGTATAAGGGGATATCGAAGACCAGTCAGGTTATTCCTTTCCCTGCCGGCTGGTTTAGCACATTCTCCAAGATTAGTTGTTGGGCTCATTACCAGTATCGTCACCGCCCTCGTCATCCTCACCATCATCGTTCTCGTCCTTCTCATCCCCATCATCATCCTCAGAATCAACGGAATTGCTCCTCAGTACACTGTAGTCGTTTTGAATTATACCGTATATCATCGTATATCCGTTTTAGATTTTAGATCTCAAAAAGTTTCCTCATCACGTTGCTGGTGGCAGTCACCTTGACAATCATATCACAGCACTACCATGCAACCAAATCTTTCCATGCCCAGACCTATTGCAGCCCTGGCCGTTTCGACGTACGACTCTTGCCCCAATATTCTGCCCATTTTCCCTATTTCACAACCGGGCATCACCTTATTCCAAGCAACAACAAATAAACCATGTCATTTTGGAATTCTTCATGCAGGGCCATGCGACACAGAATTCCGTTTTTCCATTCCTGTTGTTACCCCCTTCTACCTGTCGTCCACCCCTTCAAGCTGTACTGTGGCAGGGTGCAGCTCTAGACAAAACAAGTTTTCCTTCACTTCGCAAACAAGCTAAAAACGCTTCAGTTTTCTGGATGCCAAGGTGGGAGTTGAGGTGCTTGGCCAGTCCTTGCTGCCTTCCATCAAGGCATTGGCTCCAGCTCAGACCGGATGGAACGTGATGGACATGATCAAATCCATTTCAATGTCAGGAAGATGAGCTTTGACACTTTCTCTCAAGCTACTTTGAGCATTGGTTAGTTGACACAACTATACTGTGTACATATGTATATATATATATACAGTTTTATCATATTATCTTAATGATCCTTTATCAATTGAAGTCTGCAGTCAAGGTTTGGTCAAACCTTGTCCTGTGATTCGCCAGGAACTGGGAAAGGACAGGCAATGGAGAGTACGACTAGCTGTCATTAACGTGATGTCAAAGGCTTAGCAGGATCCTGTGTTGATCTGTGTGTTGATTTGTGCTGGATTGAGCTTGATGAACTTGATGAATCACTGAAGCTTTTGGGTCTGTGCCATGATGTGGTGCCAAAACGTGGCACAGTGCATTTTGCTTTGCATCTGTGATCATCCTGTGAAGACTAGTGGAGTCAGAAGCTGGAGTATCCACAGGTACTGTACTTGCACCTTTCTTGTCCGTTGTTTAGCTGTGCAGGAAGAGAAGACCAATAGCAAATGTTTTTTCACATGGCCTTGTCTTCACAACCGCCAGAGTAAGTCGGAGACAGCAACCTGCCTATCAAACCTGCCTATCAAAAATAAATGGCTATCATCAGGTTGCAACAAAATGATTCAACAAGCAAACACTCAATGTATATATATATATATATAACCTTTTTATTCTTTCTCCATTTTTCCCTGCCTCTTGTATCCTGTCAGGTAGCATGTTGAATTATCTATCAAAAACCGAAGGACGGGCCGATAAAACTTTGAAACACCTATTTAGCCTCAGCACCAGAGACTGATTTGCAGCAGCTTGTTGCTGAGGCCAGATTTAGCCAAATACCTGGGTGAGGCAAGCGAAGTTGGCGAAACTGAGTTTTGCATTCTTTGAGCCCAAGAGACTCATGCCGATACAGACTGATACTGTATAGATTGTGTCCACGGCAGTTCGCGTCTCAATAATTCAAATATTAAGGTATGGTTTCAGCCAAGCAGTCGAGGGATTAGATGGTGCCAGACAATATGATGGCACTGTTCTCACAATGAATCCGCATGGGCCCATCCACACATCTCCGAAGGCAAAGTTTACTGCAGAGCTGGGTGCCCTCTTTGGTGCGTGGCTGACGGATCCAGTCTTCTCCGTGAGGTACACCTGAAGCTTGAGAGGAATTTGGAGAGCGGAGGGACACACTGTTGAGATAAGATCACACCACAAAAGACTATGAAAGGGTATTGCAAAGGTATTGCACTATATTGCACTAGATAATACTATATTTATGGATCCCCTTTTGGTCATAGTCTGAGCTGTTGGTGCTTGAACTGTCATGCTTTGATGCTTCGGTGGCTTGAACTGCTTTCTCCCAACGTCTCCTGCAGGGCATCATACAGCCAAAATGCACACCATCGCAGTTCCTAAACATTTTTGCTGCTGACCGGATCAAGCTTCAGTGCAACTTTACCAATTTGATCAGTCTCAAAAGGCCAAAAGGCTTGGTAAACCGAGCGGTAAACCTTACAAGCTGGTCAGTTTGACCAATACAGTTCCAATTCCCAGCCTCTAGAAAATCCTAAAATCCAGTGCTGCCTTTTCTGGATTGCATTCTCCAAAACTTGGCACACATCGAACATCGGGCTGGGTCAGTATCCTGCAGCTCTTTGATCTTCAGCCGCCGGTTGGCCACGGCACCCTGGCGCCATGAGTCGCGTTGTGGTGTCCCGAAGAGGTGCCTGGTGCAGACATTGAACCATGACTGAAGCTGCACGTTATGCATCGTTATCCATGGGTCATGACATGTTACGACAGGTAAAGAAAAGTTACGAGGTAGACCTCCCTGATCTGGCATCCGTCTCTCGAAAAAAGGTTTCTCTAGATTTTGCAGTAGATTCAATAGATTCAAAGCAGCAATTCCTGTTCCTTTGAAGTGCTCTACTGTAAAGGCAAGGTAAGGGGGAAGTTGTAGCCCAGTTGTAGCCCAGTTGTGACGGGGAAGCACCAATCATCCTCTCCGATTCTCGGCAGTGAGGCGAAGAGGGCCCTATGGCACCAATTTTGGCGTCGATCCCTGCGCCTGTCGGCTCTGACACTATTTGTCTCACTAGATGCCCCTTCATTGGATCGAATTGGGTCGGGTAATTGGATCATATTGGATCCTCAAATTGCGAGTTTACATGGGTTTACCATTGGGATACCATTGGGTTTACATTGTTTTGCGATTCCTGGAACAAAAGATGGCAAATTACGACAGGTCCAAATCATCCCAAATGGTTTTCGACGGCTCTGTCGAAGAGGCTGTGATTTAAATCGCAATAGATCCCTAAATCATTCGGGAACATACTAGGACTGGGACTACTGTCAAATACTGGCACTAGTATACGAGGTCGTTATCTTGATATTGGTCACTGGGAGATCCTTCATCAACAGGGGGAGTTCTTGTCAGTGAGGCGGAGATAGTTGGGTATTCCAGGTTCTTGGACAAAAACGAACTCATTTGATGTCCATTTCGTGGTGCCAGGTAGAGATTTCGCCGTGGATTGATGCCACGCAGGAGATTGATGTTGCGATTCATTGCGCACTGAATTCGATTCTGTCAGATACAGTCAGTGCATGTCAGTGCATTGTGTTAGCGCATCATTTTGGCATATTTTGGCTCAGCCATGTGTGTCACGCATTTGGTGAAGTAAGAGCAGTCTTGAGGCATACCCCCAGTTGGTCCAAAACACCGAATATTAGGGTTGCAAAGCAAGGGTGGTAAGAACACCCCGACAAAGAGTCAGGCACTTCCTGCAGAGCTTTTACGTTTCAAAAACATTCAAAAACAAGTGCGGGGTTGGGAAAGGAGGTCAGGCCCCAAAAAATGGTACGGGAATGGAGAACGAGGTAGGAACATTTCCATCGATTGCGTCATGTACCAAATATAATATGTCACTGCAGCGCCAAAAAAGGTTTGAAAAGCTGAAAGGAGGCCTGCTGTTGAGCACTATCGGCGTTGTGCTGCTCTGTGTCTGTAGCAAAGACCGATCGCTGAGTGTCACAATGGCAGTTGCTGCGCAAACAGAGAAGCTGCCAGATGTATTGGTCATAGGCGGCACAGGCTTAATGGGAGCTCCTACTGTGCGACGTCTTCAGGAGCAGGGACATCGAGTAGTTGTTCTTACGCGTGGACATGACCAGGGAATGGGCACTTCTGGTCGAAGGCCTGACCTGCCGCAGTGCGAGATGATCCAATGTGACCGCACAGAAAAAGGAGCCTTGTTGGCTGAACTTCTGAAGGAAAATTCTCCGCGGATTGTGGTGGATTTTGCAGCCATGAATCCAGCACACATTGAGGATGTTGTTGCAGCGCACCGGGAAAAAACCCTTCAACACTACATTTTCATCTCGACCAACATGGTTTATCCAGGAGGCCCGGAGAGCTTCGATGTTTCAGGCCGAGTTCCTCTGATCACAGAAGAGCAAGCTGACCTCGATGCCAAGGATGTGCCAGACACCTATGGTGGCAGGAAACTGCAATGTGAAGTGCTCCTTAAGGAAGCTTCTGCTTCGGATGGTTTCTCCTTCACCACCTTGCGCCCGCCTGCTGTGGTGGGTCCTGGCTGTGACAATCGCCACGAACGCCTGCAGCGTGCGGCGTCCAGAATGCGTCTTCTCCCTCCACGAGATGGGCCGCAGACCGCAGCTGCGGCGCATGGAAAGAGCTTCCGGGTGGCTTACAGCGGTGATGTCGCAGCTGCTGTGGCTGCTGTCGTGCTGAAGGGACCAAAGGATCTCAGCGGAGAGGCGTTTAACATTGCCAGCGAAGAATCAGTGACGATGGATGAATATGTCAAAGAGATGGCCGATATTTTGGGCACTGAAAAGCCTTCGCTGCCACCACCCGAAGAGGATGCGTCGATTTGGAACTATGAGAAGCAAGGCAATGTCGGGATCCAAAAAGCTACAGAGAAACTGGAATTCCGACCAACTCCCCTCAAAGTTTGGTTGACAGAAACCGTGAAGTGGCACCAGTCACTCTTGCAAGCATAAACGGCAAAAAGAGTGTCTCGGAGCTTTGGACGGTACGGCTGGTGCCCGAACGAAAAAACACATTACCGTACAGGAAATTGTTTTAAATAATACCAATTAATTAATATAAATTACATCTAATTAATTACCATTCTTTGTTTTACGACTGGAATAACAAGTCAGTGAGCTGTTAGTAACTTTGAGCTCTTCGTATTCTTCGCAAGAATGAAGCGTGCACAAGCTTAGCTTTGCACACAAGCAAATCACTCAAGGCACTCTCCTACTGATTGCACTGTTTTTCGGAGGGGTTTGTATTCACAGGCAGCTGAACTTGCCACTTGACAGGACGAAACCGGAAAATGGCAGCTGCCAGACTACCCTTGTGAAATTCAAGGACATTCGTAGAGTGTTGGCAATTTACGGCGCAGGTGGGTTAGTGGATTGGAAAAATGCGAGTGCAAGCGGCTTTGATTTATATACCGACCGTTTGTTCACAAATCCTTGCCCGGTCATGCCATGATTCGCCCCTGCCCATCTTCCTTTCGCAATTGTCTGAAAACAGCTTGGGATTGTCACTTCGTGCAGGACTTGCCCCGGACGATCCGAAGAATGTCAGATGGAGGCAGACAAGGAACATGCAAAACTATGCAGAAGGGCTCTGTGAGGGCTCTGTGAATGTTGAAACATGTTGAAACGTCAGTGTTTTGGAACTTCTTTTGGAACTTCTTTTACCATATTTGAATTGAAATGATTTGAAGACAGGTTTGGCTCTTTAGACTCACATTTCGGACAGGCCTGGTGACTACACCCTGGGTGTTGACAATGTTGACTACAAAGAGGATGCACCGAACTTAAATCATGGTGGGAAGATCGATTGCATGTGGGGGACTCGTTCTCATCCTCAACTTTGGATACTTTTGGATGAAGTTTTCACTATGACTTCCAGGCATTTTGAAGTTGTGACTTCCATCAAACTTTTGCTGGTTAGTACATGTTACTACATGTTAGATCATGTTAGTACTACGGAGTTCTCGGTCATTCAAGTGGTCGTTAATCACAACACCAAGCTGCCTTGGCCAGGGACCGCAAGAATATGGCGGCCAGCGGCTTTGGGATGGCGATTTGCCGTGCTTTGCTGAGAGAAAGGGCAGATCTTTCTCCGCGCGATGTTTTGAACACCTTGGTACTGCTTGGTCGGTCAGCGTGAAGACTGCATTTTGCAACCCCCATTTGATCATCAAAGACGCTTGCCAAACTGCCAGAGGGTCTTTCATGGTCTTTCTATCAGCCGTACGAATCTCTGCATCGATACCAAGGCCGAGAGAGTGGAATCCAAAGCGATTGCCCGAGAATGTGCAGGAACTTTTGAAGGCCAGGGAATCTTCGCAGCTTTGCAGCTTGAAGATTTGAACATTGCCAATAGACCATAGTCTCCTTTTGAGTTATACCGACACCCTCAGAATCAGTAGAATGTGGATTGAAGTTTTCTTAGACTTATTGGAGCCACAGGCGGGTGATTTGGCGAGTTCACGGCGGAAATTCACGGTGATTTGGAATGTTCCACGCAGCCATCTTTTCAACTCAAAGTGAACGTCGACACCTTTGCCCGATGGAAGATTCTTCCAAACTCAAGCTCGCAGGCAAGGTGGAAAGCGTTGCATTTGCCAATATGACATTTGCTTTGTGGTTGGCATGGCAAGTCACTGCTGCAGAAAAATCTGGGCACAATAGACTTTCGGCTTCGGTTGATTTGGTGAGTCACTAATTGAAAGAACAACTAAAACACATATAAAACACATATAAAACACATATAAAACACATATAAAACACATGTAAAACACATGTAAAACACATGTAAACACACAATCATTGTTGACTTTCATGAAAAACCCATGTACGCAGATGGAATCGCTAGGTGGTGTGGCCTTGGGAGCCACTGCTGTGCTGCTGGCTTCCTCGGCACTGAAGAAGTCGTTGAAAGACTCAGCGCGACGAGATGCGTCTTGTTCTTTTGAAGCTTGGCAGGAAAAAACACTTTTTTTTTGAGCTTCTTGTATCTTTTTGTGATATGATATGGCTTGATTTAAGACGTTTGGAACATAGGATGCATACACATGTCCAACGCAGACTTCACATAAATGAAACAGACAGAATGATACAGACGAATATTATTCATATATATATATATGCAGTCTGCAGATATCATTATACCCATGACTTAGGACTTAGGTCACCATAGTGACATAGGAGTTTGTGCACCAAGTCCTAAGTCACTGGTGTTCTTACCAGGTGATTTGTGTGCAGCAAGTCCTAAGTCATTGGGGTTATGATTGGACTTAAGCACTTTTTCGGGTAAAATAAAAATAAAAAATCTTCTCTTGATAAGTCATCAGAACCTACATACTTACATTACATTACAGTACAGTAAATTACATCACACTACGGTACATTACATTACAATACAGTAAAGTACAGTACATTACACTACAGTACATTGCATTACATTATAACACATTACAGTACATTACATTACATACATGCACAGGACTTGGTGCACAAAATCGTCTGTCACTAGAGGGGCACAAGTCCTAAGTCATCAGAACCTACATACTTACAGTACATTGCAGTACAGTACAGTACATTACACTACAGTACATTACATTACCTTACAGTAAAGTACAGTACATTACATCACACTACAGTACATTACATTACAGTAAAGTGCAGTACATTACAGTAAAGCGCAGTACATTACATTACATTACGTTACATTACATTACATGACACTACGGTACATTACAGTACATACATGCATAGGACTTGGTGCACAAAATCGTATGTCACCAGAGGGGCACAAGTCCTAAGTCATCAGAACCTACATACTTACAGTACATTACAGTACATTACATTACATTACACTACAGTACATTACATATATTACAGTACAGTACATTACACTACATGCATGCATAGGACTTGGTGCACAAAATCGTATGCCACTAGAGGGGCACAAGTCCTAAGTCATCAGGACCTACATACTTACAGTACATTACAGTACAGTATTTACTGTACATTACAGTACAGTACATTACAGTACATAGATGCAAAGGACTTGGAAAGCGTCCATCACCAGAGGGGCACAAGGCCTAAGTCATCAGAACGTACATACATATCTTACATTACATTACAATACAGTACATTACATCCCAATACATTTTTCAATATTTTTCAATTTATTTAACTGCTTGAAAATACTGTCTGTATATAAATCGAAGGAAAAAATGGAAAATCACAGATTTTTGTGAAATATTTTTTTTGAAGATGGGCACAAGTCCTAAGTCATCATTTTTTCAACGATTGGCTCGAGGACTTCGGCCCAACGACGGGGTAGTGCAACGGGGAATACAATAGGGAAGCACAACGGGGAAACAAAACGGGAAACAACAGAGAAAAATGAAAAGTGAAAAAAAATATATTTATATTTTTCAATTTATTTAATTGCTTTAAAATACTTTCTGTATATAAATCGAAGGAAAAAATGGAAAATCACAGATTTTTGTGAAATATTTTTTTTGAAGATGGGCACAAGTCCTAAGTCATCATTTTTTCAACGATTGGCTCGAGGACTTCGACCCAACGACGGGGTAGTGCAACGGGAAACACAAACGGGAAGCCAAATAGCTGCAGCGCACGAGCGTGATGACTTAGGATCATCTTAGTATACTTCTGCTAGTTAATTCCTATGTCATCCTGGTTTTACGAGTGGTCCATGCCGCACAAAAAAAATCTAGCATAGTTTCTAATCTCATACGGACACCTGATGAGTTAGGACTTGTGCAGGGGGGGTCTGAAGCATGATGAGATAGGACTTGCCCACCCCAGGGTATCTTTCACAAGTCCTAAGTCACTGGTACCTAATATATATATATACATACATACATGCAGAAAGATTCATATAAGAACAGGCGCACCAGGGGCCCTTGAAGCACTTGTACAGCGTAGAGAAACAATAACAAAGATCGGAAGAAAGTACTCAACCTCAAAATTACAAACTTGTAAGCCAGTAGGCAAGAAGGGCATGCAAGGATATGGAAACTCCCAAAATATACCTGGGAAATGGTGGACAATATGACGAAACATCAAGAAAACCAGCGCAGATCATGCCAAAGAAACAATTTGATGGAAAATCTAGAAATGGCTAGAAAGCAGTTTCGGAAGAATGGTTCTGCAAGTTAGCATGCAAATCCATGTGAATGTTTGAGAACTTTTCATCATTTCCCTAATGATGTCATGCTGAGGAGTACCACCTGGCGGTGCACTGTGCAGAGGTTTCCCAGGCATCTGGAGCTGCTGGGCACAAGCGCCCAGACGCTCGAGGGGACAAACACCAACAAACAAATCCTCGCTCCCCAGGGATTCTCAACCAGTTCAGATTAAACACCTTGGAATGACTTGGTGATGTATGTTGTGCCACTCCACGTCCACACATGAAACCTTCCAAAGCAGCGCAGGGATGGCGCTTGGTGAAGCTGCACAAGGCAGCCAGCCTGGACGAGCACACACAAGCTGTATGTGCGGCGTTGGGAATGGAGAACTTGTGCCTTGGTTCCAAGATTTTGGATGTTCAAAGAATCTCAAAACCATGTATACCATTACTGTATATTCAGACTGCACAAACAGTTACAGCTGTGTGGACAGAAGATTTCGAAGATTTCAAGTGCTCTTCAGATGCTCTTCTCTCATATGTGCTTTAGAGCGCACATGAAGCCATGAATCTTTGCCTAAAAACGTGCATGTATAATATATCCCATTAAAACTCTCGCATTTGCCAATGCAAGATGATGCGAGTACATAGATCATAGAAGTACCGAGACACATCGAGACATAGCATCTCGTTCAGCTTGAGGCAGGACTTCAATTTCTATCCTGTGGAGAGGCGCAGCAGGGATGGTCCCTGTGTCAAGATTGGAGCTCAGATCGAAGACACGGGTGCCTTTGATTTGCTGCTGCTGGCTTTGACACCTGATCAGTTGCAGGTCCGGATGCCGAGGTTTGCCTTCTGGATCCTTCTGGTTTTTCATCGAAGGGATCAGCCAACAAAGACAAAACATGTAGGTACTTGATGGTACTTGTACAGAATCAACGCACAACAGACGAACAGAAGATGAAATTCCCATTGAAAACTTATGACTACAGAGTCATGTAATTTTTCATGGCTGCATGGCCCTGCGCACCATATAAATTGATATATTTTGTATGGCATGCCATGCCATCAGCACTAGGTCATTGAGCTGGTGTGCGCGCGGGAGATGCCTCGACCTGCAGATGTGCCACGGGGCCCTGCAGCATTTCCCATTTGTGGCGTTCAGCTGCCCTTCATCGGTACGACGTATAAGCTCCTTCAAGGACGCTGACTCAATGGACTCACTGACGCTGATAAGAAGGGAACACACCTCCTTTTTGCAAAGAGTGCGACATAATTAAGCACCATTCATGTCGAATAGTTCTCCAAAACAGAAGTTGTAGTTATTTATTTTGATTTATTTTGTATTTTTGTTGAAGGTTCTGAAGGTGTTTTGGATAGCACATGATAGCACTTGGACATGTTGATTCATTTGAATGAAGACGGCAGCTCTTGTGGCTGTCACTTTGGTCATGCTTGACTTATCTTGACTTCATGTTGCCACTTTCCTTTTTGCATTCGTTTTTCTGAAAGTTTACCTCCAAAAACACAGAGACAACAGAAATCCGTATAAATCCCACCTAGTACATCACATTGATGCAAATGATGTGCATGCAGTGCATATCCATCATTCATTTTCTGCCATAGTCAGGACCATATCCCATTCCACAGTACAACTTTGCTCACAACGTCTTCCCCCCCGTTGGGAAGTATCCTTACGGCGCTACGGTGCGATCGCATTCAGGGCGAAGACAAAGTATTGGTGATTTCGCCCCTGGTACAGTATTCCATGAGGATGCTGAGTGCACGGTGACGATGACTGCAGATCCCAACATTGTACAGGAGCTGATTGCAAGGACATCAGATTTTCCCAAATTGTGGAACAGAGGTCTACAAATCCCATTGCAGGAATTCACAGCCAATGGACTCTTCACCTCCAGTGAGACCTCTGATGATTGGAAGACGGGACATGCTTTGCTTCCACGAGGTTTCAATCAAATCAAGATCAAGAGCTTCGCCCCGCAGATCTTGGCCAAGACGCGAGCCTTTGTTCGCGAATGGTCGAATTTCAAAGCTGGGCACAAGGTGGAACATGTGAACGATTGGCTCACTGCCATGACCGCAGATGCGGTGGTTTCCTGCAGTATGGGCATGGACATGCGCAATGTAGAACGCCTGGGCGCCAATGAGGACAGGAAAGACAGGAAATGCCCTTGAACCTCTTTTAACAGCTCAAGTTGGATCGAGTGACCTGGTGTTTGCATGTGTTCGCTTCTGTTGATGCAAAAGTGCATGACGGTGAGGCTGGTGTGTTGGGATAAACGCACAGCAGGGTAGTGCAGGACACGCGTCTCAATCCACAAACTTTGCCCAGGAATCTCAGTTGCAAGGTGTCTCAAGGTCCAGGATTTTGAGATATTTTGAGACATTTTTGGCACGTCCGCAGCTCAAACCAGGAGCCCCACAAATTTGTGGAGACCTTCAGAAATGGGCTGGGGATGTCCACCGGAGCCATCAGCGTGAAATCAGAGTACGGCCTGAAACGCTTTCTGCCCTTTTACGATGCGAACGGCAAATTTGCAAAGAAATTTGAAGAGACAAAGAAAGAGATGCAGAAGCAGGTGGAAGATCCTTAGAGAACAGGATGGACAAGGAAGTCGCTGACAGATCCACAAGTCCATACACAAGACAGGATGGCATATAATTTTCATATTATATAATGGCATATACAGCTTGGGAAAAGCCAAGGACTTGGTCGAAGCAACTCGACAAGGAGAAATTGGCAATCAAGACTCCATCATTCGACGCTGGGCGAGATACAAATTAATCAACAGTGATCATGATGTGGAGGGGTAAGGAATACTCGCTGCGGTGGATTTGATTCATGCTGCTCACTCTTCTTTGCAAGCAGTCCCCAGAAATATTTGGACAGTATAATAATTACACATGTGTGTGATTGTGTGTGTGTGCGCATGTGCTGATTACAATGGAAGCATTGTCTGCAGAAAGATATTCAAACATTGTGCTGCGGCAATGATATATCATGATGTATCGTTGAGTGATGTTGATTGTACAGAAACGACCTTGTGCAGAGTTGAAAAATCAGACAGAGGAGCATGCTTCTGTCCTTCTGTACAAAGATGATCAAATATGTTAATCTTTGCAGGGGTTGTTTGCGGGTCAACTTCGGGAGCACATGACTTGATTCGACATATTGAGAAGTGGGGTCAAGGTCAAGCTCCGACAGCCAAGGAAGTATGCTGGAAGATCGAGATTCTGAGGGAAAGCAATAAGCTCAGTTTGTAGTCAAAGTGTGCCTGTGAGTTTGTTGCTTTTTTGACTTGAAAGCACTGCCTGTTTGATTTTGTGATTCGAGGAATGTTTAGTTAGTCTAGTTTGATGTGATTCGGTTGAGCAAAAAAATGCACTATCACGGTTTGTTGCTCCTCTGCAATTCCCACTGGTGCAGTTGCAGTGATTTGCAGTGATAGAATTTCATGATACAGATGAGTTTGAGGCATGTTCGCTACGGGGCGTTATATGGGCATGTCTTTAGCTCAGTCACCGAGGGTGAGAATCTGAGATTGGATTTGTACTGTGCGGACCTTAAAGGGATCGTGCCAGTCAGGTTTTCTTGAAAACCGAGTGACAGCAACGAGGTCGTGAACCTCATGATCGCAGGACATGAAACAACAGCTGCCACCTTGGGATTTACCTTGCAGTTGCCTGGCAGCTGGTGACAGTGATTGACGGTGATGTGCTTGAGTGGTTCTAACATGTTCTAGCAACCAAGGGCAAACCATATTGACAATGAACCACACATATCCATAGACAATGCAATTTCCAGCATGGATGTTTGATGATGTTTGATGATTTTTGTCTAATATTTGCCTTCGTGAATCTATCCAAAATTCGTCAACGTAACGCAGTCGAACGCCGATGCGAAGCATGCCAAGCGCCGAAGCATTCTTTTGAGTTGCAATTGCGACTGAATGCCTGGCAAGAGAAAAAAACGCAGTCTAACGAAAGTTCTAACGCTTCTCCAAGGCTTTTGGCAGAGAACCCAGTCTACGAAGCACGTGCCCTGGAAGAAGTGAGGCAAGTCCTGCATCTTGGCTGACAAGGTGACAATGACGTCTCTGCCTGAATTCATGGGACCTCCACTGTAGATGGATGATCAATTAATGTCAGTTATCAAGTTATATCAATAATGTGTATATGATATGGTGTGCTTACATACTGAAAAGTGCATTGCCTTTCATATGCTCCTTAGTTGACTAACAGGTCTTCACATGTCCAATTCCCAGCAGTCCATGTGTATTTCCCAGTTGCATTCCAGGAATGGTCGCACAGAGCCATCCGTGGATGACGTTCCCAAACTTCAATTTGTGGAGCAATGTTTCCGTGAAGCTTTGCGACTCTACAGCCCGGTGACTGGCATCAGCCGCGACGCGGCCTATGACACGCTGCTGGGAGGTCACCGTGTCTATCAGGGCGAGAGGACCACTGCAGCTGCATCATGTTGACTCATGTTGTCAATTCGAGGGTTAATGATGGCTAATGATGGTGAATGGTTGGCATTCTCTGCACTGGCATACAGAAAGAAACATGAAGAAACTTAGATCAAGCTCATTTTATGTCGATCCACATCACATTTGACCAATCGGATCAGAGTCGTGCAATAATCATTGTCAGTCATTGTAGATCGCTGTAAATCGTCCTACATTTTCCTTTGCGGTCGTCAGGATCAACGTCGTCACACGGGCATTGCACACAAACCCCGAGCATCTAAGCCGCAAATCTGATGATATGGCTATGGATCAATACCTATACATACCATTTTTAGGGGATGAACATCCATTTCCCAGCTATTTTTGATGTTCACCAGGGGGATAGGGTTTTGACCCATCCCCATATCTGATGGCTCTGGGCGATGTTGGAAAATTTGACTGCAAGCTCTTGCAGGTACTGGGGCGGTGAATTTGGTGATCCGCTGAGCTTCAACCCAGACCGGTTCTCACCAGAGGCCTCTCACATTTGTGGATTTCTATAGATTTCTCATTTGTCAGTCACATATGTCACATAATCAATGGATATCAATGGATATCAATGGCATGTTGAGTTCTTGCACTCAGCACATTAGCATCCACAGGCATTAATTGGAAGTTGGTTCGAAGTTCGAAACCTTGCGATCTTCGGGAGGCTGTTCAGAACCGACATCCAAATGCCTACCATCCATGGGGCTTTTCCACGCGTGCCTGCATCGGCAGCCAGTTTGCCCTCTTTGAAGCCAAGCCACCTGACTGCAAACCACATTTCATAGGACTACAATGGACATCAATGGACTACAGTATATGGACTACAATTTTCATGCACGGCATGGCTTCTCCGATAAAACTAACGCAGCCGACACTTTCTTTGGCTTGGCTTAAGTTCCAAGACGAGGTGCAAAACATGAACCTTCATGGCACATGCAATAGAATAATCATCTATAATCTACAATAGACATCGCTCTACTTACTTTACTTCATGGCTCACTGAGTGGAGGACAGGAGGACTGCTTGATCCTTGTTGTTCAGGACTTTCTTGGCTTCGATGCTGATCCACTTCCGATTGCAAGGAATTCCTGGATACAAGTTGATCGCTTCCACTGAAGCAGGTGGTGCTGCCCCATCACCTCAGAACTTGGCTTTCCAGGCGGGCGAATGTTCACTGGTCTCGAGAAAATTCGAGAAACACAAATTGAACCCACCGTTTCCAATTGCTGCGTTGCTTTATTGTGCCACTCACCCAAGATGGCCCTTCTGAATCCAGGAGGTTGTTGCGATGCTAAATGGATATGTAACATTATGTATATAATATCTATATTAAAACTCAATGGATGCCACACAAATCTTAAAGGTACCACATTCCACTCAGATCCACTCAGCCAGTACAAGATCTTGGACCAAAGCCACCTCCAGAGATCCCAAACAGCACAGGTCTTCCCGCGACCTGGTGGGCCTTTGTGGTCCGACAAGGGCCTGATGCAGCCGTTGCCAGCGATGTCTATGCCTGAGATGCTTGTCTTAAGATAAAGACGCTTACTCTCCATGGTAGGGTTTAGATTCTTAGATGGTTCAGGTCCGTTTATGTTAGATAAATCATGCACGCCACATGTACACTACTGTTCTGCACATTCCTGGCATTCCCTCACACCTTCCAAACTTGTTTGCGACTTTTCTTGACTCACATTGGATGCATGTTAATCTCTTGCCAGGTCTTTTGCATTTGTGAGTACTTCCGATGTGCATTTGCTACGGTCTGCCAGTCTTGGTGTTGCAAAGGCCACCAAAAGCAGTGGAACAAGCGCCAAAATCAGAGATGAACGGCTCGGTGCAACCTGCAACTGGGCCCGTCATGAAGGTCCTGTATGGCTCAAACTCCGGTTCCAGCAACTTGAACTGAACTTGAGGGCACGCTATAGCCGCTATGGTACACTTCATAATTCATGTTAGGGCAACGTGATAATGATTGGGATGCATCTGTCAAAGCAAACAATACCTTTGGAATCCTAGCTACAGAGAATGAATGGCAACTGCATGTGGTGCATGACTCCACCAAGACCCAGCAAGTGTACCGGAAAAGCTGTAATAAATGCAGTGGCATGGCTATTTGATGCAATTTGGATCAATTTGGGCATTGGCTATGCAGGTCAGGATTTCGCTAGTCGGGTGGAAGCAGCTGCAGCTCGCAGTGGCTTTCAGACATCACTTCACTCATTGAGCCTTGGCGTCCTTGGGCATGTGGCTTGCTGCCTTGGGATAGACGAAGTGATGACCAGCTGATGACCACCTGATGACCACCATCCAAGGAACGCTGCGGTGGCTGAAAATATCTTGGTGCCAGATGGCCGTTTGGTGATTATTGTCACCTCAACGTCCCTTGCTCTTTTGAGAGTAGGTCCCTGACAATGCTAGCACCCTATTCTCAATGAAAACAAACATAAAATAATCTTGAAACAACTAGGGAGAAACTTCACAGCAAGTTGGTTTTGAAAGTTTTGAAATCCTGATTTTGATGTCACAAGACTTGCACTCAGCAAGCCAGAATGCAATAGAATGCAATAGAATGCAATAGAATGCAATAGAATGCAATAGAATGCAATAGAATGCCTATCACAGGCAATGGCTTTCCCGAGGTACAATGGCCTGCCACCTGACAATGCAGGCAAATTCAAGAAATGGCTCCAGACGCAAAAACCCAACTCTTTGCACCTCGACGGCAATGTAGCATTGATATGACATCAGTGATGTCAAATTGTACAAGCTCAAACACTCCCTTGCAAGAAACACTTTGCCTGGAAAGCGGACCACTTGGACCCCAAGCTCCTTTGTCCTCTCAGAAAGCTCTAGCAGCATTCTCAAATGATCTAAAGTTCAGGCCCTTAATTCCTGTGCCAAGTATTTGCAGAATATTTGCAGAGGCCTTTCTTGTCTAATTGTTTCTCCATGTTTGTTCTCCAAGCGTCTCGATATTCCCGCCCTTTGGCTCCCGTCCGTGACCAGTTGCAGGGATGGCTTGAGCTACGCCGTCTTTGGTGTGGGAAATTCCCAGTGGCATACGTATCAGCAGTTCCCTCGTTCCTTGGCAGAGGATGATGTCTGGGAATAGATGCAGTTGGGTGAAGGCTGTCATTGCGCTGATTCCCAAGGTGAAGTAGACGCTGGGTTGAACTGCTCCGGTGCAAAGCGCCTATGCGATTTGGGCTCCTGTGACGTTGATGGGGCATCTTTCACTTCGGACTTTGAGGATTGGTGACTCGGAAATCCTCAACATGCCCTCCACTGACTGTCGTTGCAAAACCATTTTGACCTTGATGATTTTGCAGGGTTGAACAACGTGTTGTGATTGTAGCAATGAGGTTGAATCACTTGGGTGGATGGGTGGGTCAGTGTGGTTGCTGTGGCCATTTTGCGCTCAAGCATCCACACACAACCCACCAGGAATTTGAAACTGGTACCCACCCGACGCGTCATTGCGGTGGGGGACCTGGTGGGGTGGTGTAGTGAGTGCACCAATTGGTACCAGCAAGTGAAGCGGGTACTGTGACAGTAGCAGCATCTCATTGCGCCATAGTGCTGCTGGTGGTGCGCTGCCTCTTAGCACCATTGACGTGGTGCTGCAGCTGCATCTGCAGGAGGAAGACCTGGGAGGTGATCACATTGCCCAGTGGTCAGAGGATCACACTCAATGGACCCAACAGAGGATGAGCAGAAGGCAATGGTCACCATGGCCGAGGTCTTCAAGTGGGTTGGGCTGAGTGAGACGGAAATGGGTGATGAGACAAAACTCTCAGGCTCCTTGGCAAAGTTGCTTGGTGCAGCAGACATCACCAAGCCTGTCACCATTGGAGTCGTTTCTGAGGCTGACTATGAGGCAGTGATCTCAAAGTGGAAAGTGCCAGATGCTCCTGCGGCCAGGCACCCAACTCTGACTGAAATGGGTACGGCCAAATTGGTTGGGCATGTTTGCAGAGTTTTAGCAGGCTCTGGTGAATCTTTGGAGATGCTGAAGAAGAGGGCCAGCGCACCAGCACCAGCGTTGCCCTCAGCACCAGCCGTGACGTCAGCTGCAGCACAGAGGAAAATTAAGCTGAGCTCCATCATTTCACAGGTGGACGACACAGAAATCCTGATGGCAGAAGAGAAAGAAGTCTTGAAAGCCTTCGCAAGATACGAAGTGGTGTATGGAAAAGGTGACAGACCACCAAACGGCACAGAGCCGACTGCAGAGCAGTTGACCGCAGTGAAACACCTGATTGATTCAGGCTGCTGTCCATACGCTGACTTTTCCATCTTCGGTCCATATGGACAGAGGATTTACAAGAAGGTGAAACTCAGTGGCTATCAGATTTCCCGTGATGGACAGCTCTCCACAGTGGAACTGCATGGACCTTCAAACATCTCGCAGTGGATCGGTTGCTACACTGTCCTGCAAGGCATTCTTGTGATGTTGGATGCAGTCGACCTAGGTCATTTGCTGCGATACAGGACGATGATCGAGAAGTTCCACGACAAGTATGGTGAGCGAGTATGGTCCGTCATATACCAAGGAGATGTTAGAGCCAGGTTGGAGAACATGCCACGCCTGAAGCGCATGGCCCAAGCAGCTCACGACAAGGCGACCTCCTCGGGTGGCACCACAGACTTTGATCCAGCCAGGCCATGGAACTATGTCTGGTTCAAGGCGACAGAAGACCTTGAATTCTGGCGTGAGGAAGTTGTGGACCCATCCTTCTTGATCCTCACGAAGATTGCCCGTAAGGAAGATATGCTCCAAGGTGACGCGGTTACAGGTGTTGCCAAGGGAGGCCCCAGAGAGTCAGCACCAACTCCATCGAGAATGGGCATACAAAGTAACGCCTCTGTCCGTCCCAGGAACTCCAGCAGATCGGGGCGACTCAACAATGTTGAAGATGGGAAGTACACCACAAACCGCACTGGCTACAAAATCTGCACTGGGTACAACGATGGCAAGTGCACAGAGGCCAGTCAAGGTATTTGGTGCACGCAGTCATGGGACACAGTGCACCAGTGCAGCCGGTGCCTTGGGAGCCACCCTCAGATTCAGTGCACTCACAAGGAGATGCCGAAGCCATCCTTCCTCAAGTCCATGGGCAAAGGAAAAGGAAAGGGAGGAAGAAAAGGAAAGGGCGCTAGAGCGCCTTACTGAGGGGAAGAGCAATCAGTGCATGTGACGGAAGATCAGTTGCCTGACAAGGCAATTGAGAGGCCGAGGAATTCAGCGGCACCCACACCAACCGCACAGGGTGTGGGGAGCAGCAAAATACTTTACCTTTTCAGTGGTCCGCCACGGCCAGATGATGGGCTTGGCAAGTTCTTGGATGAGCTGGGCATTGAATGTGTCTGCGTGGATCTTGAGGTTAATGAACTGCATGACCTTCTAGACCAAGATGTTTGGGAGGGAGTTTCACAAGACTTGCCAATGTACGACGGCTTCATGTTGTCGCCACCTTGTTGCACCTTTTCTATGGCAAGAGGTGGAAAGGGCGGGCCACAGCCACTCAGAGCAGCTGAGGGGAAGGAGATCTATGGTCTCAAGACTTTGAAAGCAGAAGACAAGAAACGAGCCCACGAGGGAAATGTTTTGGCATCGAGAGCACAGTCAACAGCTTCTCATGCCACACGTCGCAAGAAACCTTGGATTCTGGAGCAGCCCCATGAACGAGAGGGGAAGCCTTCCATGTTCAAGCTTGATGAGTTCAGGGAGCTTGAGAAAGAGCAAGACGTGCGACGGGCCACCTTTGACCAATGCCGTTTCGGATGCGAGTTTGAAAAGAAGACTGATGTGCTTGCCAATTTTGATTTAGGGCCGGAGTTCCACCAACTTTGCAACCATCCACCCAAATGGTGGAGGGTTCCATGGAGTGGGGAATGGGTTTGGGCTTCACACCCGCCATTAAGGGGTAAGCAAGTTGCTGTTGAAGCACACATGTGGAACCCTGGGATGCTCAGGACATCGGAGCCCCAGGGGGACTACATCACCAGGCGGGCGGCTGCGTACCCTGCGGATCTCAACAGGGCACTAGCTAGAGCTTTGGGAAACGCAGTGAAAGTGGCTGCGAGGACGGAAGTTCCAAGTAACGTAGCCAAGCCAAAGTTTGAGGTTGACCCCAAACCTGTTATGGCCCTAAAATTTGGTAAGCCACAGAATGTCGAAACCTAGGTAGACGACAGAAATAGTCTGAGGAATGTTTCAAACTGGGTGAATGACAAAATGAAGTTCATAGGGGTTCAAGTCAGAAACATCATTGAGGATTCCTTGTCTCAGAATCCAGACGTGGAGAACTGCATTTGGGAGAACATCACGCAGCATCAGAAACCAGAAGATGTTCATATCCCGGAACCCTGGATGGATCATGTCAGATCCAGGGTCATCGATCTGTTCTTTCGCAACGATGGCAGCATTGTTGTTAAGCAACTGGCTGAACCGCAGACTGGGGACTATGAGACTAAGATCATGGGCAGGCTCCTTCACGCATGGGCTTGTATTGTTGGTGACCCAGGTGCAAGAGCTACGAGATGGATATTTGAAGGAGCACCGGCAGGGTTGGAAATGAGTTCAAAGGACCTAGATGGCATGTTTCCCAGTGTCGAAGATGATGAACTGGAACTGGATGATATTAACCTGGATACTGACTTCGGTTCATTTACAAACTACACTGGTGTTGAAGAGGACAATGAAGCATTTGATGCGCTCGAGTCATACTACGAGAAGGGTTCATGTTGAAATTTCGTACGCTGGATGATGTTGAACGGCATCTGGGATGTAAACCTAAACCAACCTTGTCTAAACTGGGATGCATTAAGAAGATGAAGTATAACCCTGACACAGACCAGTACACCTATAAGGCCAGGATCATATTGGATTGCAAGCGCTCTGGAGTGTCGAAGCGGGCACAACGTACGCACAAAAGTGTACTTCCCAGGGCCACCGATGCAATCTTGTCGGTCTTGCACTTGATGGCGCGGAAACAATCTGGTCAGGATATACAGCTCTTCATTGCCGATATTGTCGATGCCTTCTGGCTCATTCCTCTTCACGTTTCGGAGAGGAGGTACTTCTGTGCGCACTTGCGCGGGCATTACTACTTGTTCACTAGAACGGCCCAAGGGTCACGCATGGCACCACTGACATTTGCTGCAATCATGTCGGTGGCTTCCAGATGGGTGCAGAGCCTGAGCAACGAGTACGCCATGCAGGTTTATGTTGACGACCCATTGGTGGCAATTCTGGCAGAGCCGCATCGTACCAAGCGGCTGGCATGCGTTATTGCGTCTGCATGGATGATCATGGGTTTTCCTTTGGCATTCCACAAGGCAACTCTGGCACCACAACTAGTATGGATTGGGGTGCAGCTTGAAGTGAAGGATGACACAGTAGTGGCGGAAATTCCAGCATCAAAGGTTTCGGAACTCATCAAACTCTTGAAGGACACCCTTGGCAGCAACTTGGTGTCCATCAAGTCTTTGCGGTCTCTTACAGGCAAGCTCACCTCTGTCGCATCAGTCATTCAGGTGTGGAGACCATTTGTGCAGCAGCTGTACAAGGCCATGCATGTCGTGAACACCAAAGAGCTCCCAAAGGCTGTGTCTGGGTCAAACAGATACAGCATACAGTGTCATGGCTTCTCACCTTCTTGGCTGGAGAACAGCTGGGCATTAGACGAGAGTTCACTCTGGACGCGTATCTTCGCAAAGGACCAGTTGTTGTCATCACATGGGATGCAAGCCCATATGGCATGGGGGCTACATTACAAATCAGCGGTGCCTTTGTCTCTTTCTTTGCGATCCCCATAACCTTGGAAGATCAGGAGGCCCTGCAGACGCAGTCAGGTGACTGTCGTGGACAGCAAGTATGGGAGGCATTAGCTGGTTTAGTTGCCTTGAGAACGTGGTCACCATACTGGCAGCACTTTCCTGTGGTCCTGCAAGTGCGCAATGACAACGTTGGAGCCCTTACCTTGTTTTCGACGTTGAAAGGAGGTTCAACTGCTCTCTCAGTCATCGCCCGAGAGTTCGCGCTAGACCTGGGAAAGGCTACATGCAGACCTGCATTGATTCAACACTTGCCGGGCATCACCAACAAGACCTGTGATGCATTATCTCGAAGATTTGATCCTCACTATACTTTCGAACTGCCGAGATGCTTGCTGCATGCAAAGCCAATTGTTCCACCTACTCGAGACAAAACCTGGTGGAGAAGTTTACAGGTCACCGTTCCGAGCTCTTCATCGGCACCGCCATTGGCAGACTCAAAGGGAATCAGATCTCGTTCCCCAAGACGCTAGTGACCCTCTGCTGCATAAAAGATATAAAGAGTTGACTGGTTTGATGCTGCACTGCTTTTCTGTGTCGACTGATTTGACACTGCACTGCATTTTGTTTCATTCATTGTTTGCTTCTTGTGATGTCGTGATTTGAGGGTTCAGTTGGATGTGCGTGAGGTCATAGGTTTTAGGTTTTCGTTGTGCACTTGATTAACCTTGGTTGATACCTCTTGGGTATCACTTGATTCATTCATTTAAATCGCAAAAATTTTAAGCTCAAAATGCTTTCAAAACCATCCTGGGGTAAGAAGAAAGGCAGCACACCCTTTCAGCTGCCATCAGATGACATCGAGGGTTGGCTGAGGAAGGTCAATAGTTCCTCAGCAGGCCAAAGGGCTGTAGAACAAAAGGCTGGGCGCAACATTTCTGCTGGCTCTTGGTCGGCAGGGCACCCAGCCAAGCGGCCATCGACCCTCGATCATAGTGGAACCCAGGAAAAGAGAAAGCGTCATGACATGCCTGTTGTTAGAAAGATAGACAGGGCAGCCATGGCCACTGCGCAAGGAAAGATCTCCACTGGAACAGGTAGACGTGATGCACTGGACGCGTTAGTCAATGACTTTTATGCCTCTTCAAGTCAAGCACCTAGAACTTCTCAATTGAAAACGTGGGAAAGATATCATGCCACTTGGTATGGTGATCAGGTCCCTGTTTGGCCACTGTCGGAGCAGAGTTTGGTCAGAGTTTCGGCACTTTTCAAATTGGGAGGGTACAAGTCGTTCAAGAATTATCTTTCTCGAGCAAAAGATCATCACATCTCCCTGGGCTTTGAGTGGTCTGACAAACTGGATGCCGTGGCCAGAAAATGTTCCAGGTCGGTCCTGAGAGGATTAGCTGGATCCACGAGGTCAATGGACTTTGGCTTAGTCAGGATATCGTCCCATCTCCCTCATGGATCCTATGCCCTGGACGAATGTGGGCCAGCTCATCCGAAAGCTATGGTTGTGACCGCAACTCTCTTCCTGTTGAGAGAACTGGAAGCTTCGGCCATAGACCTGGAGGACGTAGTCTTTGATGACGCCAAAGTAACACTCCATTTGCCAGTGTCGAAGACAGACTGGCAGGCAAAGGGATGCTCCAGGTCGTGGGCATGTGTTTGCGACACCCAACTGCCTTGTGTTTATCATACCCTGAAACAGCACATGGTGGAAGTGAACAACTTCTATTGCAATCTGGGCATGAGACCGGTAGACAAACCGTTGTTCCCAACTACTCTGAGGGGATACTGCACAAAACAAGGCGTGGTTAACACACTGAGAGCTGCAGTAGATCAATCTGGAGGAAATGCTACGAAAGGCGATAGATCTTCAGCGTACAGTGGTCATGCATTTCGCATCACTGGGGCCAGACTATTAGCCAGGTCAGGTCTTGCATGTATCACGATACAGTTGCTGGGTAGATGGGGCAGCAACGCTATCCTGTCATACCTGGCAGAGTCGCCACTGGACGGGTTTGCGGACCGCTTGCGTCATGGACTCTCAGACAAGAAACTGGACAAATGGGTATTTGCTGACAATTCGCCAGCCTTTAGGGAAGCCGACCAACTGGTCTACGTGCAAGACATGATGGCAGAATTAAAACAGTCCAGGGACAAAGTTAATCAGTTGGAATCCCAGCTGAACAACCTTGCAATCCAGATGGAAGACACCTCTCAAATCCTGGAAGGCGTTGCGCTGACATTTGGCACGAAGTCTGGAGTAGAAAACTGGATGGTCGACAATGTACAATCCAAAGTGAGACACAGGTCCATAGTGGATCTGTCTACGCCACCTGCAACATGGAAAACTCTTTGCGGATGGAACTTTTCTTCAAAGGCACACGCCACTACGTCCAGGTCAGTCTCAGAACAGACTGACCTTAGATTGTGCCCTAGATGCTTCCCAAGTGATTCTGACCACTCCTCATCCTCCTCCAGTAGCAGCTCTGAAGATTAGCTGCAGAGAGATTGGGGGTTCACATGGAACCCAATCTTCAGACACCCAAACTCAGATTTGGGGGGTGATACCCATGTAAAGATGTGGGTAACAAAAGCGCAGTGTTTCAAATTCACCGGCAGCCCTATAGGTGAGAAAACACTGCTGGGAGGGAGGGATGGAGTGTTGATGAAACCGATTGCTTGAATTTGTAATGAATTTATGTTTGATGTATTTGATGTTTCGGGATTTGTTGAATGTTCTGATATGTCTTTTGACATGGTCAGGAGATGTCAGGAGATGTCAGGAGATGTCAGTTCTTCATAGTTCTTCTATGGCCTGGCGAACTGAGGTTGTCCAATTTGCTGCAAACCATCGGTGCAGGATCTTCAACCGAAAGCCTCGACGAAGGAATCCCTGGCAGCGAGGAGTCACTCGCCGCACTTCCGGGTTCGCGAAAGCAGTTGCAGGGTTGCTCCAACCTGTTATAGATAAATGATAGCCACAAGGGGGTAAATTACTGTAGTTATTTAATTTAACTCATTAAACTCTATATTTACTCAATCTACCTCCCTTGTACCTGGGGTGTTTGGAGCAACCCTGAGTTGAGTGTCAAAAGTTGTGCGAACAAGCGCCATCGGTTGTCTCCCTGACAAGAGAAAAACCAAGGTTCTCCTTGCTGACGGCCCCAGCGGATGGCATCAAGGTCTTGAAAGAGCCGGCAGTTGTACTCCAGGCTATCTGGGAAGGCAAACAAGTAGCAGCCAAGATCATTGGAATGACTGAGTAGCTTGTCTCAATATTCACGACATGACATGCGTCAACTTTTGGAGAAGCAAGCGCAGCTTGCTGGGGCTTGCGATGGCTTACGAATATGTGCCGATGATTGCAGATGTGGAGTTGCACGCATACGAAGCCACCACATCTTTTGATGCATACTGTGATCTGATTGAGACCAAGATCCAAGTCGATTTGATCAGATCTTGTCACAAGTCTGGATCTTGGTATATCTTGGTAAATGAAGAATCATCCGAATCATCCAGGTAATACCAGGTATCCTATGGTGTCCCAACCATCCAGCGGCCGCCGAGGGTGGTGGAGACACACTTGAAGGCCTTGGAAGTCGTGGAGCCGCCACGAGAGCTGTGCCAGAAGCCCGATGGCCGAAGCGTGCGTCATGTGACGCTCAGATTGCCCAAAGGCGTCAACTACCGGGCAGGCGATCACTTGGAAGCTGGGCAAACTTGGCGTGCAGTATAGGAAAATCATGAAAAGAACATAACAACTAGACGACGGATGGCCCGAGAGCGTAGAGGAGCAGGGTCTTCTCTTGTTAGTATGGAGACGCAATATTAGAAACGATATATGAAAGCTGTGTTATAGGCAGTCGAGAAGAGGAGTATCAAGACAAAATAGTGAGAAGTGCAAGACAATAGTTTGCATCGCAAACACTTTTACACACAGACGCTTTTACACACAGACGCTTTTACACACAGACGCTTTTACACACAGACGCTTTTACACACAGACGCTTTTACACACAGAAGCTTTTACACACAGGCGCTTTTACACACAGACGCTTTTACACACAAACGCTTTTGCGCTTTTACACACAGACGCTTTTACACACAGACGCTTTTACACACAGACGCTTTTACACACAGACTCCTTTACACACAGAGGCTTTTACACACAGAAGCTTTTACACACAGGCGCTTTTACACACAGAAGCTTTTACACACAGAGACTTTTACACACAGACGCTTTTACACACAAACGCTTTTACACACAGACGCTTTTACACACAGAAGCTTTTACACACAGACTCTTTTACACACAGACGCTTTTACACACAGACGCTTTTACACACAGAAGCTTTTACACACAGACTCCTTTACACACAGACGCTTTTACACACAGAAGCTTTTACACACAGACGCTTTTACACACACACACACGCTTTTGCACACAAACGCTTTTGCACACACAGTCTTTTACACACAGACGCTTTTACACACAGACGCTTTTACACACAGACAAGTCCGGCACAGGAAAAATCGCAATTTTACCTCAGTTTCTACCGATCGACCCTCATTTCGTGCGAAAGGGTTGCTCCGGCACAGGTAAAATCGCAATTTTACCTCAGTTTTTGCCGATCGACCCTCATTTCGTGCGAAAGGGTTGCTCCGGGGCAAGTCAAATCGCAATTTTACCTCAGTTTTTGCCGATCGAACCTCGTTTCGTGCGAAAGGGTTGCTCCGGCACAAGTAAAATCGCAATTTTACCTCAGTTTTTGCCGATCGACCCTCATTTCGTGCGAAAGGGTTGCTTTAGCACAAGTAAAATCGCACTTTTACCTCAGTTTTTGCCGATCGACCCTCATTTCGTGCGAAAGGGTTGCTCCGGCACAAGTCAAATCGCAATTTTACCTCAGTTTTTGCCGATCGACCCTCATTTCGTGCGAAAGGGTTGACGTTTCGTGACTCGCCGCCGGCACCACCCTCGGCCTTAAGAGAGAAAGATAAAAAGAAGGCATGAGAGAGAAAAGGGAGAGAGAAAGGAGAGAAGATGTGAAGATGAGCAGATGTGAGAGAAGATGTGAGAGAAGATGTGAAGATGAGCAGATGTGAGAGAAGATGTGAAGATGAGCAGATGTGAAGATGATGTGAAGATGAGCAGATGTGAAGATGAGCAGATGTGAAGATGAGCAGATGTGAAGATGTGAAGATGAGCAGGTGTAAAGATGAGCAGATGAAGATGAGCAGATGTGAAGATGAGCAGATGTGAAGATGAGCAGATGTGAAGATGAGCAGATGTGAAGATGAGCAGATGTGAAGATGAGCAGATGTGAGAGAAGATGTGAGAGAAGATATGAAGAAAGATGAGCAGATGAGAGAAGATGTGAGAGAAGATGTGAGAGAAGATATGAAGATGAGCAGATGTGAAGATGAGCAGATGTGAGAGAAGATGTGAAGATGAGCAGATGTGAAGATGAGCAGATGTGAAGATGAGAAGATGTGAAGATGGGAAGGCGTGAAGATGAGCAGATGTGAAGATGGGAAGGTGTGAAGATGAGCAGATGTGAAGATGAGAGGATGTGAAGATGAGAGGATGTGAAGATGAGGTGATGTGAAGATGAGATGTGAAGATGGGAGAGGATGTGAAGATGAGATGTGAGAGATGTGAAGATGAGCAGATGTTGTGAAGAAGCAGATGTGAAGATGGCCGTGAAGATGAGCAGATGTGAAGATGGGAAGGTGTGAAGATGAGCAGATGTGAAGATGAGAGGATGTGAAGATGAGAGGATGTGAAGATGAGGTGATGTGAAGATGAGATGTGAAGATGAGAGGATGTGAAGATGAGATGTGAAGATGAGAAGATGTTTTACAGACCCCCACTATTGGAAGAACCCTGCGCTCAGACGCTCTCGGGAAAAAACCATGCATCACTTACTCATATGCATCATGATCCCAGAAGACAGGTTTCGGTGTGGATGCCACCGTAAGATACTGGAAGTTTCTAAGCAGTGGGCTGTTATAGCCATAGCATGCCATAGCTGTCAATGGTACCCTATGGCCCTATGGTGCCCTGCTACCCAAAGTATTTGCCACCATGTCATGTGTTATTTGGTGGTGAAGCCGAATCCAAGCGACTGATTCCACAATCGGTTAATCGCGGAAGAATCAAAGGATATCAAAGGATTCAGGATACTTGCTTCGGTTATCTTCGGTTCATCACTTTGGTATAGAGCTAAGAGCATCAAGGCATTGACGGCATTGACGCAGATTGAAACAGACATAAGCAGATGTAAGCAGACAGCTTAGCCATGCTTGGCCCCCTTTTTTGGATGCCGTGCTCAGGAAATGTTGCCTCCGAATGACCCTGCCCTCGTCACCATGGCCATGGAGGCCTTGAACTTGGACAAGGAAGGTCCATGGTTTGAACTTAGTGGCGCTTAGTGGCGCTTAGTGGCGCTTAGTGGCAGCATGTCGAAGCATGTTGGGTCTGTTGGGTTGGCCCAAGGGGACTCTGATTCGACATGATTCGACTCACCTGTGACATCTTCTGACTTGGCAACTTGGGAATCATTTGCACGGTTTTCTAAGATGACAATATAATACAATATATAAAATAATACAAATTTTTGGTATTATATAGTTCTATAATATCTATAGAGTATTGCATCTATTATAATCTATTACAAACTATAGACATCTATAGACTCTGGAATTTCCAGAAAGGCTAAGTTGCATGATATGGCAATGATTATAAGATATTAGAAGCAGATTTGCATGATTGCGTCAGGGCATCTCAGCTTCGCTTCGTAGCTTAGGTGTGGTTTGTTGGGACCCAACCAAGCGCCAAAAGAAATGGCGCAACCTTGGCCAGATGGACGAACAGATCTGGAACAATCTGCCAGCTATGCCGCTTAGCAAAGAGGAACAAGAGGAACGCACATTTCCTGGATTCATCTGGATTCTTTATATTTCTTTATACCATACTAGTAATATACAGTAATATTGAAAATATTTGATATAATATGACGCTTTCTTCTTGAAAGCACACAGTCAAAACATTTTTAAGACACTTTTTGTGGGGCCACATGGTACCCTGGAGCACGGTTTTCTTTGACGGTACCATTTCCAATGTTTCTCAACATCTCTGAGATTCTCTGAGCATTTCTCACGGACCTTTTTTTTTGGGGGGGTAATTTTTGTTGAGGCACATCACGGCCCAGTTGCTGATGCAGTTTTTCCCGGACCTGGCCAGCTCTCCGGACCGAAAAGTCTTAGCCTGGCTGGCCGACAAGGCCATCTCTGTGGAGGCCAAGGAGGAACTTCGCAGCATGGCCAAGGACGCCGACTGGAAACATGGTGGCTGACAGCTGGCTGACAGCTATGACAGCTATGTGTGCCCATAGCTAAGATAGCTAAGTTGGTATGTAAGTTGATGATCTAGTTCATTTATAAGCTCATTGACTATAGATACATCTACCATGAGTCCTAGTTACTTAAATTATAAACCGACTTAGTTGTCTAGGGGGCACCACCTTGTATGAAGTTTGCATGATTTGGCTACATATGCCTGCTTCTGGTTGTTTCATCTGATATGGGAATTCTATGAGTCAGACAACAATTCTTCAATGATGTGTGGATGGGTGTGGAGCTTTGTTGGTTCATCCCTCTTACAGGATGCAGAGAAGTACAAGGCCAAAGTGTCTTCACTGAATGTATCTCTGGCAGAGATTCTGCACAAGTTCCCTGGCTTTATATCTGGATGATGCACCTGATTTCTGACTTACATGTTCAATTTAAAGGCTTTGGAGCAGTCTAGATATAGGTGCGGCATCTTGCTTGTTTCACTTGCTGAAAGGAGTCAGCTCACTTAGAAATCATCTGAAATCATCTGAATACATCAAGTGTGTTTGACCTCAACGAAACGAGCCCTGGAGGTTCAAGGGCTTCGCAGATGTCCAGCTGGGCGAATTCGTGGCTATCGCCAAGCCGATGGCCATGCGCCGCTACAGCGTCTCATCGTCCCCCCTGGCTCCGGGAGCGGATCCCAATGTGGTCACTGCCACAGTGGGACAAGTGAAGTTCACCACGGGCACTGGAAGGCACATGGTTTCTAAATGCAGATTGCATAGGGATTGGATAGCATGTGCTGTGGGTTGGGCTACTGATTTTTGTTGAGCTCTTGAACCTAAACCATCACGTGTTGCTTTGAGCAACTGTGTGGATGATGCTACTATGCTACTTGTCTGCAAGAGAGGACGAATCAGCCAAACTGTTCTTTTCCGGTTCCTGGTTTCAAGACATCAAAGCGACCATTGTTTGCAGCGTGATCCTTCCATGCTGATCAAAGATCGCCTCATAGCCATAGCGATTCCCAAATGGCAGAAACTGCATCATGCCAGGCATGCCACCACTACCATGCAATTGACCTGCGCCAGGGTCCACTACGGTTTGGCCTCAACCATGCTTGGTCAACTACCAGTTGGGGGCTGTGTCCCTGGCATGGTGCGAACTTTGCAGTCCGACTTCCACCTGCCGGATGACAAATCAGCTCCTTTTTCGTTCCAAAGAGCTCAAACTTTGTCCTTACCTCTGTGAATCTTTGTGCAGGTCGCGTAAGGATAGGCTTCCAGCAGTATGAAGGAAACATCTTACCACTATGATCCACTATGGCACTTTGATGCACTTTGTGGTGTCCTGGACCTGGACCATTTCCCGATTCTATCCGATTCTGCGTCCATCTGAAATCATCTGAATCTATCTTGATCTTGGGCTTGGCCTCAGGCTCCAATCATCATGATCGGCCCCGGCACTGGCTTGGCGCCCATGATGGGCTTCTTGCAGGACAGGCTGCTAAAGCTGTTTGCTAAAGCCGCTTGTGAAAGCCTTGTTCAAATCCAGCAATGAGTGCCTCGCTTGGCGTGGCTAGTAGGATGCAAGCAGAGATTGATAGATGTCGCATGATGTCGCAGGTGATCTGGACGAGAATTTGCCAAGACTCTCTCAGTCTCTGTGTCGGCCGTGTGATGTCCTGTCGCTGTGAGGAGCGTGAAGCCCTGTTGAAGAAGAAAGAAAAGCTGGGTGAGGCAATCCTCTTCTTTGGTTGCCGGGCTCGTGATCAAGACTACCTCTACGTTGCTTGGCCTCTCAGGAGAGGAGGAGAGGCAACTTTGCCTACTTTTCATTCCGGGGTAAAGATATGTACTGATATGCACAGAACTTGAGGGACACAAGTATTTCTTGTCTTGGCGCAGATGATGAGAAAGTGCTGAACATGGAAGAAGCTATCCCTGTCATCAAGATAATTCCCCACTCAAACCAAAGGGCAGTTACATTCTGTAGAATTTTCTGTAGATTATGTTTCTTGCTTAATTCACAAATGTGTGCTACACAGTGATATGGGGTCTCTTTCCGCACCAAGGAGAACGAATTGCAGGCTCACTTGAAGTCTGGTGCACTGTCTACTTTGCATGTCGCCTTCAGCCGCGAAGCTGGTGCCTTGTTCAGAGGTAGAGCCAGTAGAGCCACTATCATTGCATTTTTTGAGTTTTTTCAACTCAGAAGTGAACATGCCAAGAATCCAGTCAAATTGATCCAAATTGACAGTGTGCCGGCAGTCAAAGATCTAGGCTGCAGCATTTTATTATTTTTACTGTTTAGCTCTGGTCACAAACGGCTTCGAAGAGTGGAGTGCTCGAGGTCAGAAGGTGTATGTGCAAGACAAAATCTGGGAGCAAAGTGCCTTAGCGATATCTGTGTGAAGCTCTATCGTCATGATTTTGTGGCGTTTCATTTACTTAATCTACTTGTACTCACTCCATCCAGAACCGAAATGAGTACCTCTGGTTCAACCTCACCTTTGGAGAAGCAGTAGACTTGCCAATGCTTTCCATCGCCATTGACATTGAGCTCATTTGAGCTCGATTGTGCTGCTATGTTGGCATTTCTCAGCACCTCTCGCTCTGAGGAGCAGATGTGTGGCGTGTTTTGTCAGACCCCAAGAGTGTGGTCTTCATCTGCGGCGATGCTCGTGCCATGGCGCCTGATGTAAAGCGCAGTTTCCAGCGGGTCATCGAGAACTGCGGGGGGCGAAGCAACTCCATGGCAGCCAATCTGCTGGCCAGTATGGTAGAGGCTGACCAAACCGGGAACATCCAGGAATGACAAAATCATCACAGAGTCCAGAGTCAGGGGTTTGACGTTTATTGAGAAGCCCAATTGCTTGTTGTGGGTGAGAGAGACGTGCAACTTTGCCATCTAGTTTGCAACATTTAGATGCCAAACTTGCATACAGTTGGAGTACAGGGCCTATCCAAAGCTGTGCGTTCTATTGATGAAAAGAAGATAATTTGGTAACTTCTTGGCTTTGGGATCTTTGGGCATTTCGAGACATTTCAGGAATTGGCTGGACAAACCGCTGTCCAACTAGAGCTGTCCAATCGACTTCAGCGGGTGCTTCCAGATAATTATTCTACGATGTGATGTTCTTACGAATGTGCCGAACAATGTGTGCCTCACCATACATACCTCAACAATCCTCAACATACCTCAACCATCAATATTTGTCCATCACGTACTGCGGCAATATATTTATAGCAAATACATGCAAATACATCTCCTGCCTGGTCTGGTGTGGTCCCTGCAATTATCACCTGCCAGGCTGGACGATACCTGGAAGACGTGTGGGCATAGCACCGTCTCCAACCGTTTGAACTCGCGTGCAGAGTCAAGAATTTCAAGACAATTGCTTTAAAAAAATCCACCAAAATCTGCAGTCTGCTTTTGTTGTACAGATCCGGTTCATCCTGATGCTATTTCCAGCAGAAGTTGGACTCCTTGCCAATTTACAGCGCCGCGGTTCGATGGCAGGCAGAATGGAGCCACGACCACATTTTACGCAGACGATCAAAATTGATTAGACAAAAGCGCCATGCGTGGCAGGGGACAGTGTTGTTTCTCAGGTTTTCCCAAGTTCAATTTAGCTTCTTCATGTGGGCCTGGTTTGAAGTGTCGGATTGTGTGGGATGTCGCATCATGTAGCATGGATGGCAGTCTACCCGATTGTTCTCGCCTTTGCTTTTTCCGCAGTTTCTGCCTTGAGCTCAAGTGCTACTAGCTGCCTCTAAGAGCCGTACAAAGACAAGGATATGCCAAGAGCATCCAAGAGCCAACTAGCCACGTGAGGGCAACCCATGCCAATCCCACAGTCTGGATAGAAAGCGAAGATGAGCCCTCGCAGAACAGACTCTTGCCCTGAGCAGGCATCCAGACATGTCTATGTATTTGTCATTGTCAAAAAGTATGTGTTTTTGGAGATGTTGGTGAATGCTCGTTCTGGATGTGTTTCACACATTTTCATACCGTACTGGTATGATAATATATGATTACACAGTATATGTAATTAATATGTAAATACATATGAATCATATGAAACACAAGTTTTTGCAGCAACAAAATCAGCATGCGTGACAGTCTTCCAATCGCGTCTTGTATTATTCTTTGCGATGGAGCGTCTTCTATTGCTGGTGCTTGGAGCCATTGCAGTTTTATGCAGGTGCCTTTGTGGAATTTGTACATCATTGTCAGCTGTGCTGAGAGGAAGGTTTTTTTTGTCTCAGGAAGAAGAAATTAGAAGAAATCAGATGAAATTAGAAATGATCTCGCATCTACATGCATCTACCACAATAACCGGTGGCTATGAGTGTTGGAATGCTCTCAGCAATAACGTTCTGCATTGTGCATGGGAACTTTGTTGAGCGCCTTCTGGAGAGGGCCGGACCCAGTCACTGATACTAATTGCAGAACCTTCAGCTGGGAGGGCGAACCAACGGGTTGCAAACAGAGCTCATTGATCTGTATGAATCATTAAGTATTATTGAAATTTATTGAATATTGTTGAATACCATGGAATATTGAACATGGCTCAAAATTCTCGAATATTGAATATTGATTGCGGAAAACATTGCTTATCATTTACTTATCATTGTTATTGATTATGGCATTAGTTATTATGGAACATTATGGAACATATGAAAGATATTGATTCATATTGATTCATATTGATTCTACTTGTACCAGCTCTGGAAGGCCAAGTGCCTTTGTTGCGACCCCACAGCGATGGCTGACTCACAAGCGACATGGTGCGGTTGGCAGAGGACCACTGCACTCCGCAGGTGCCCGGGGAAAATCCGCTGGGGATTCCATAGGAATCTTCATGGTTTCCCGAGACATTCGCAATGAATTGGTAAATTTCTGTAAATCATTAAACATGAAGATTTTCCATGAAGATCAGTGGAATTCATTCTAATCCATCCTATTCCCAACTTGCAAATTGCATTATGATCGAAGGAAGTTTAGAAGTCAAACTTCCGACAATATGGACAGATGAAAAGCAGAGCAGGGCAGAGGGAGAGAGAAGAGAAAGATTAGAAGAGAGAAGATCAGAGAACAGAAAGAGTCAGAAGAAAGAAGATGCAGATGCGCGAAAAGGTAGGAAAGTCGCGGAACACTGTGTTTTTCCAATGATTTGTGGCTCCGGAGGCTGCCGGAGGCTTGAAAAGTAGGCTCGCTAAAGCGGCGGGTGCGGAGCCAGCTGGCCAGATGAGAGATGAAAAATTGCACGCCGTTGTGGCGCGAAGCACATTTCCAAGTCAAAATGTCCAAAACACACCAGGTTCGGACCACTTTTGGAAGTTGAGATGTCGAAAAAGTGCACGCCGTTGTGGCGCGAAGCACATTTCCAAGTCAAAATGTCCAAAGCACCTCAGCTTCGGACCACTTTTGGAAGTTGAGATGTCGAAAAAGTGCACGCCGTTGTGGCGCGAAGCACATTTCCAAGTCAAAATGTACAAAACACCTCAGCTTCGGACCACTTTTGGAAGTTGAGATGTCGAAAAAGTGCACGCCGTTGTGGCGCGAAGCACATTTCCAAGTCAAAAGTGTAAAAAACTGGCGGTCTCGGACCACTTTTGGAAGTTGAGATGTCGAAAAAGTGCACGCCGTTGTGGCGCGAAGCACATTTCCAAGTCAAAATGTACAAAACACCTCAGCTTCGGACCACTTTTGGAAGTTGAGATGTCGAAAAAGTGCACGCCGTTGTGGCGCGAAGCACATTTCCAAGTCAAAATGTACAAAACACACCGGTCTCGGACCACTTTTGGAAGTTGAGATGTCGAAAAAGTGCACGCCGTTGTGGCGCGAAGCACATTTCCAAGTCAAAAGTGTAAAAAACTGGCGGTCTCGGACCACTTTTGGAAGTTGAGATGTCGAAAAAGTGACGCCGTTGTGGCGCGAAGCACATTTCCAAGTCAAAATGTACAAAACACACCAGGTCCGGACCACTTTTGGAAGTCAAGATGTCGAAAAAGTGCACGCCGTTGTGGCGCGAAGCACATTCTGAAGTCAAAAGTGTTAAAAACTGGCGGTCTCCGACCACGTTTGGAAGCTAGACAGAGAGACAGATGAAAGAGAGAGAGAGAGATAGATAGATCGATAGATAGATAGATAGATACATAGATAGACAGATAGACAGGTAGACAGCTAGACAGAGAGACAGATGAAAGAGAGAGAGAGAGAGATAGATCGATAGATAGATAGATAGATACATAGATAGATAGATTGGTAGGTAGGTAGCTAGGACCATAGATAGATAGGTAGACAGACAGACAGACAAACAGATAGATAGATAGATAGATAGATAGACAGGTAGACAGCTAGACAGATAGACCGATGAAAGAGAGAGAGATAGATAGATAAATAGATAGACAGGTAGACAGCTAGACAGATAGACAGATGAGAGAGAGAGAGAGAGATATAGATAGATAGATCGATAGATAGATAGATAGAGTAATCAAATGAAAGAGAGAGACGGAGAGATAGATAGCTAGATAGAGAGATAGATAGATAGATAGATAGATACATAGCTAGATAGATAGTAGGTAGGTAGACAGTCAGAGAAAGAGTGAGAGAGATCAATCGTCTTTCGATCCATCAGTGGCTTCGCTCTGCCATCCCTGATTCACAACAACCAATCTCTCCTATAGGTTTCCTATTTTTGAAACTTCCGCAACCGCCTTGTGCGGTACTACTGGTAGTTTGTTTTAAACCTCGATGATTCAAGGAAAATGGCACTTGGGTGGTTGATCATTTTAATCGATTTTAGATCGATTAGGCGCTGAAAAGCCGATGATTTATTGCATGTAGCCCAGATCTGGCGTGGTTCGGCTTGGGTGCAGCTGTCTTGCTGGTGGCCTGGCAATCGGTGGTTGTGTGTGGTTGTGTCCTTTTGCTTTGACCAGGACCAGGAGAAACATTATGCGGATGGGATGAAGGAACTTTCATTCTTTAACAGTGTCATGCATCACAGCATGGAAGACCATAGAAGATTTACAGAAGATACTGCCAAGACTTTCAAATGGTGCAATATATATATAATGTGGAAGATACTATTTTCAAGGCATGAAATAGGGATAAGCAGGGTTTGTATAGTTTGTATATGGGGTTGTTCAGGGACTGGCAAAATTATGACATGAACAGATAAGTAGAGAGCTGCCTTGAACTTACTGATAGGGGACGATCAAGTTCCCACAATAATCTGCAGTAGGTTACCAGTAGGTTGTCTCTTTCTACAGCAACGGCTACAAACAAGACTGTAAAGAGCTACCTCAGCGTATTACCCGGATTGTTTGCGTCTCATGTTGCCTTTTTCATCTTTTTCACTTGCCGAGACCATGCCAATCTTGTGCCAATCTTGTGCCAATCTGCCCATCCACTGCCACATGTCTTTTCGAGGTTCCCAGCCTCTCGCGAGCAGCTCGGGCAGCTCGGGCAGCTTCCAGAGCTCGTTCTCCCGTGTCTCGCGCTGCTGGACCAGTGCTCTTTGGATCGCCAGGCAGTCGATCGCCCTTGGTGAATTGGTACCTCCATGAGATTGGTCACATGGCCAGCAACCAGGATATACAGATATGTAATGATACGTATAATTTATACCGTATAATGATACATAGATCATCATAGATCATAGATCCCATATTGTTTTTCTGACATACATATTCAGACATTGCACGAATAGGACATTTCAACCAATTTAAGTTATACAGCTATACAGTTGTACGTAAAATTTCCAACGATTCTCAGCTGTGTCAGCTCCCCACTTTGAAGGTATTTGGATGTTGGATGCTGTAGATATCTGTAGATCTTGAATGTGAGCTGATGTGGGCTGATGTGAGCTGATGTAAGCACTGATGGCTGCAAGACTAGAAGTAGGGCACATGTTCCATGCGGTTTCTTGGAATGTCCCAAGGTCAGGATTTCGAAATGGTGGATGCGGCGCGTGTGGACAGAGACATGCATGCACTGCGCATTGCATCTTTTCAGCCAATTTTTCATTTTCTGTCAGGACTTTGGCAAACAGTAATTCACTCCGCTTCCTGCACAGGGCCAACTTCCGTAGCACTTCCGTTGCTTTCCTTGCCCAACTTTGTTGACAACCATTGATTTTCGTGTTAATTTGTTGAATCCGTTTCACTAAGGATATTCGACACAGTATCCGAGTCCTTTTGGAAAGATCCCTGCACTAGCAGATGGAGATTTGCAGGTGGGCAGAACCAGATAGAACCAGATCCAGAGTAGAAATGGTAAGAACATGTTGAAATAGTCCTTAGGATGTAACAAGCTTCCATAGATGCATGTTTTGGCGTAGTTCTTCATCATTCCATCAGACAATTGTATAATATTGTATAATGCATAGTGGTGTCTTTATGTCAACGCCAGAGATGTTTTTTTGAATTTCTTCAGAGCAGTTTGTTGGGTTCCTGGGGCTCCAGTTTCGCCAGAGGTCTTCGAGTCTGGTGCCATTCTGATGTTCCTTGCTGACAAGTATGGTGGCTTGGACACACCCGAGAAGCGTGCCCTGGCAGGAAAGCTGACAGCTTTGCTGAGTCTTGCCCAAACCTTTATATACCCTGTATCGCACAGGTAGGTAGTGGTAGTGCATGGCTTCTGGTTTTGGTTCGGGGCCTTTATGCGGTTTTCTGTCAGGCTGAAGGTGAGCAAAATGAACAGCTTTCAACAAGCTTGCATGTTGGTTATCGGAGTTATCAGTACTTCAGAGTATGAAATCAGATAAATCAGTTGCCGTGCCTCCTTTGCAAGAACCATCGACAGATGAATTTGAGATGGCAACGGTTTAGGATCCTCGTCAAAGCTGAACTACGCCAGATGTCACCACGTGTCCTGATTACTAAGACCACCGCATCATGCGGGGTTACTTTTGCAACATGGCAAGGCTCCATCAGTCTGATGGATATTTTAAGAACCTCGAGCCCTGGGAAATAAGGACTAACAATTGTGAACAATCCAACTCCACGTTCGGCACTCTGAAATCGAAGGTGCGGAGGCGAACAAGTGGATCGTTTGGGCTAACGCAACGTTGGATCCAATTTGCTTCAAGGACAGATGATCCAGATCAGAGGCAGCTAGTTGCAGCATGCCGCAGCTAGCTTCACAAGGGGCAGTGAAATCTGCGACTTTCGCTACAGTTGAGCCTGTCCAATGTGTTTCAGCTCCAGTTGCCTAAATGGATCTAAATGAAAATCAATCTGCACACTTGACTCGACTCAGCTTCCGTGACATTGTCCACACATGTCCGCATACCGTAATACCAAGCAACTTTGGAGGAGGACGGCAATGGCAGGGTCCTCGACACAGGCTTACGCGGTGATCCACCAGCCCTGCAAATTTTAGATGGTCTGTTGGAGGCCAATGAGTTCCTCCTTGGATCTGGAGAGGCAGGGTGCTCAGGGGATCTCAAAGGACTCATGGGGCGCTAGTGACCGCTAGTGATGCTAGTGCTTCCACCGTCTTGAGAGGAACATGATTGTATCATATTGATTCATATTGTATCATATTGTATCACGCTATCAACAAAGCATAACAAAGCCAGTGCATTTAGTGAAACTTAGTGGACATGACGGAGCACGACTTGGATGGAAGTAGTCTGGTCGGTGAGAGGGCATAGCTTCTGAAAGGTTTTGCTCATAAGGCACCCTTATCAATTTTGAAAAAGTGTAGGTATACTTGGTGAGATTGTCCAAGCCACTTGCAACGGGCCATGAGCTCTTCCGGAGTCCTTGCAGTTGTGTTTGAAGCCATACTTTTGCAAATCCTTAAGGATTTGATGATTTTGATGAACTTGACATGGCATGGCAGCATGGCATGGTACATATTTTTTTGAAACGGTGTTTTGCGCAAAGGAATCCTTCTCGGTGGCAGATGTGGCAGTCGGTTCATACCTTCTTTACGTGCGGACCTTGGGATCAGTTGTCCCAGACCGTAGAAACACAATGAACCACATCACACATTCTGTTCACCGTTCCTCCTTTTACGAGTCTGCCACAGTCTGCCACAGTCTCCAACTTCTTTCACAGGCTGTTCACTTTGCAGCTGCGTTGCTCCGCAATATTACTGATTACTACAGTGTCTTGAGCCAGCAGCTGCTGCCTCATGACCTTCAGGTGCCGCTCTTCTTCCCTGACATCAGCGTGGCGAAATGGCCACATATTCAGAGCCGCAGCTGCAAAAACTTGGCAGGGCACAGACAAATCAAAAAAGGACACCGGTACTGGTATACTGTAAGTATCTGCATGTAAGTATACGATGATCCAACCAATTGCAGCCAAATGAGCTACGGAGTTGATATTAAGCCTTTTCATATGTTTTATTTCGAAGGTCCAGTGATGCCGGTGCCATTCGAACAGTTCTTGTTACAATTCGGTCCTCAAAGGCGCTACATGCTGCAGCTGCTCGAGCGTCCAGCATATCAACGCGCTTTTGGAGCGGGGACTGCGGAACAGCTGCAGACCATTGTGACGCTTGGCATCGCTTGGCGACATGAAATGATGCAATTGGATGCAGTTGGTGGATGGACGTTGATGGTTTGGTTGATGGTTGGATCAGGGAGAGAAGTTCTGCTTTCGGAAGTTCGAGTGAGATGGGAAAGCAGCATCTGGACCTGAACGACCAAGAATCATCAAGAATCATTCTTTGCGCTTAAGCTGTGATTCTGATTCTGATATAGAAGCTTGTGGAGGCTACGGTATCAGACGGTATCAAACATTCTGATCCCTGGACACGAGACAAACATAGACAAACATATTTCCTGGCTGGACTATATTTGCTGCCATCACCATGCTGATCATGCTGATCATGCTACAAAGCATTGACAAAGAAATTGATCTGAGGGGAAAGAAGGGGGACTCCAAGATGTTTGGCCTCTTCTGAGACCGACTTCAATCGATTTTCAGTCTAACATTTGAAACATTGATCGAGCGCTTCCTGTGAAGGAAAATTTGCGCTGCAAGGGATTGGCTTCTGGTGTGATTAGATGCTTCTGCAGTTTTGAAGGTCTTGCCTGCGGTTCTTTCCACATAATATTTGAATATGATTGAATATGATTGAATATGTATGAATGTGTATGACACATACCAATCTCATCTTTGATCATCTTAGTCCTCCATGTGGGTTTCTCCACCTAAGCTTTGCAGGTTCCGCACATGCCTGGCCAACCACTCAAGGAGATGTGGCTGTTTGATAGAGGTCGTCGAGATAGGCACAGTGTAGCCTCAACCAAAGTCCTTTGGAACTACAGGGGGTTGGTATCAAACACATTGAGAAACTATGAAATTGATAGATATGAATATTGTGCAACAATTGCACCATTGGTGCTGCACATCACAATTTCACAACACCAATTTTGAAGTAACTTTCGGAGTTTGAGACCAGTGTGACATTGAGTTGTTCGATCGTTAGGAGATGTTTGCTCGCATGAAAGCGCTAGAGCCGGGCCTCTTCGAGGCTGGACCTGCTCTCAGCAACTAGGAATTCCATGGAATTCCAAGATATTCCAAGTTCCAAAAGGAAATCAGAGAACTGATGGGCAGTGATGGGCAATGACGGGCATTTACTGGACCTTTTTCATCCTTGTTCCATTTACCCTATCACTCCTAGTCCCTGGCCTTGAAAGTATGCATCATTCACAAGCTGCTTGCTATCGGCTCCAGGATCGATACTACAAGGACATTTTCCGAGATTTGCCCAAGGACAGGTAGCTTGTGGCCCAGTGAACCGCGAATAACTCCAATTCCCTCCAAAGTAAACTTCATAATATGAGCGACCATATTATATATATATATACATACGTATACTTATAATTACTTATATATGAGCAACCGTAAAAACCCCGGCAATACTAAATATGTATTCGACGGACATTGGTTTATGGAAATTGATGGAAATTGTTAAAAACACGAGGTAAGCGATGGGACCTTCCCAAATTAGCGATACCCCTTTTCAAGGTTATGTCATCATATTTCTCTAATATCCACATTAGCGATACCCAAATATCATATATTATTCATAGTTCATCACATATAGATAATATATAAATGCAGCAATTTCCTGCAAGCGATACCCCCCAAGTTTACCATATATCATTATTGTACAAACGTGTGGTAAGCGATGGGACCTTCCCAAATTTGTGGATGTCCTTTCCGTGAACCTAGGGTTTTCACAATCGCTCATATATATATATATACATGAATTATATAGATCATATAATAATATAATAGTATAATAATAATAATAATAGTAATAATAGTAATAGTAATAGTAATAATAAAGATAAACCAATCATAATAATGACAATAATATGATATAATATTATATTATATTACATTATGTTATGTTATGTTACGTTACGTTATGTTATGTTATGTTATGCTATGTTATATTATATTATGTTATATTATATTGTATATAAGGGACCCCTATTCCTCTGCTGAGGCCAATTTGTTGTGCTGTGTCGAAGCTTCCAGGACTGGCGGTACCTTTTGCAGCGCATTCAGTGGGCCGAAAAACGTGGTATTTACAGCGAGGAGTCACCAGGCTCCTTTGCTGGACAGGCCAGGATCCAGTGACGGTACACCGATGTACACCGGATCAACCGGATCAACGTGTGTTGCTTGAAACCGGTGGTCAACTGTTGGGACAAGCTTTTGGTTTGTGTGTACGGTAAGGAGATCTCATTGTCAGACAAAGGTCCCACAAAGAGAGCATTGCCACATGCGGAGCCAAGTTTTTCAGGAAGAACTGTTGGTGCCAGCAGTTTATCACACCCAGCGGCTTGACACCGTTCGATCCCGAGCAGGGTTTGCTTAGACAACTGAACTTCAGAGTCAACTGCTTCGGGAATGTTCTGAAAAACTGGTCCCATTGGCTTTGGTAGAAATACCATTCAGTCATGTTGTTTTAATGTTACACTGTTGTTCATTTAAGAGTGCAATGTTTTGGCATGTGGGCTAGAGGAGTACAGTAGAAAGAGGAAAATTTTAAATTTTGGTGTTTGGAGAAGAGCTCAGGAGCCCATAGGTATCCATAGAGCCACGGATGCTTTTTGCGTATTCTTGTGGGCCATTGCTCAGGCAACAATTTGCGTTGGGAGATCGAGCCAGATACTTGGATTTCCATGGATTTCCCAAAACTTTTCTCAAGGCTGTTCCTCTGTACAAATGCATAATCGCAATCGTTTGCCAAACAGTGTGTGCCCTTAGCAGTTTTGGGAAAAGATGGGTTTCCAAGGAGAAAAAGTACATGAGAATGGTGGCAAGTGAATACATCAACGGCTGCCGTCAAAAGCTGACAGAAATGCTGGATTCTTTGGGAGGATGCTAGAGGAACGTACCTGACCTAGATGCAGAACTGTAACGTAAAACCGCTTCATTTCATTGCGGACACAGCGGGCCCCAATCCCGCTTCTTGAAAGTTGCTATGCGCACAATGTCACCATGTCACTGCCAGGTTCCAGCGATTCCTCGTCATCACAGTCAGAGTCTCAATCTGATGGTACTTTGATCCACGGTACAGTGATCCATACGGTGGTATGAACAACAATTTTCGATTGCAAGAGAACGTTGGGTTGCGGCATGTCTTCACCGTGTTCTCAAATTAATGTTTCAATATGTTTCATCATGGTCAAGTAATGTCAAGTCTCACAGGCCCATATTGTCCTTACGATGCCTGAGTAGCTTCTCCTGCAGACTTCCATACATTTTTCTGGGCGGCAGAGCCAATGCAGTGGGCTAAGGCCTCTTTCTGACCGTTATGACTATGTTGCCTGGCGAAAGAGTTTTGTCGCCATGTCACTGTTATTCGTGGGCAAAGATTCTGTCTGAGAATAGGTACATCAAAAATAAGACCAGACTTGCGAAATGGATGTCAGTAGGGTCTTCCTATCACCAGGACTTCTTAGAGATGCTCTACGTCAAGGACCCTCCGTGGGATGGAGAAGATGTTGGACCTCTTCCATAGAGCATTTATAGATGTAGAGGAGCATGTGCGATGTTATGCGATGTTCTAAGGCCAAAAAACATTCAGCAAAAGACTGACCATTTAGTTCCGTGGCATACTTCGCTGACTTGACTTTTGTGTGGTTGAATCATATTTAAATCCACATGTTCCAGACCTCTGATGATAGCTGACTTTTGTTCTGGTGTTGGTTTGTAACAGGCCATTGAGCCACATTCGGATATGATTGTGCCAGGACCAAGAGGGCAAAGTGGTGCAGGCCAAACCCTGGAAGATCCTCACGGTGTCCGTTGGAGAGAGTATCGGATAGAGTATCGGATAGAGGTGATGTTGAGTGGCAAGGAGGGAAATCATCAGTTGCCGCTAGATTAGCTCGACTGAGCTGGGTTTAAGTTGAGGATTCCTGAAGTTCATTTGCAAAGGACTTAAAATCTATCGAGCCAAGAAAAAGACAGGAAGGGCTGGCGACAATGGTGCTCTTGTGAGAATGTCACTGTCAACAGGATCAATGATTGCAGAAACCAGTACAGGAACATTGAGATTGGAGATGTGCGGTTCTATGAGTATTGAGATGTATTGAGGGCATTGACATTGGCGATGAACGCAACATTGCAGGTGGTGCCCTGGGAGAGCTGCGGCATTTACCCAGCAGTGTTTTGGTCACGGTCTCAGACCGCTGCAGTCGCCAATTTGATACTTAGATTCCTCTTGCGACGTCACGATCCCGCATTGGATTTGGCTCTCTGATGTATTCCCCAGCTTGATATCAAGACAGGGCGGTATTCTCTGATCAAAGTGCACATCAAAAAATCATCAAAAGTTGGGGGAAACTCTAGTGTCCTCGGCATTCGAACATACGAAGCTGAGGACATATAGCTTCAAGCCGCCCAGAGGCCTCGTAGAAAACGGACAAACGGACTTCTGCAACATGCAATCGAGATTGCCATAATGCGGCTCAATTGATGCTTAGTGTCAGTGTTGCTTCGCAGTTGAATCATTCTGAATCTGAATCCTTCGCATATCTTTGCATCAGTTCCAGTGGCAGGTACCAGCTCATTGACTCCTTTTGCTGCCTTCAAGCTCAGAGGAGTCGCTGGACTGCAATAGTGTGAAGTGCTGCAAGCCAGGCAAATCAACAACATTTTGTCAGATGCCATCGTATCGTTCATCTCCGAGCTTGACACATGCAGTGTTTTGCTTTGTTGGGACATGTTTTTTCAAATAGGACAGGAACTCTCCACAGTCTATGAATTATGTAGGAGACTTGAACCTTTTAGATGCCTGTAAGAAAATAATCACCAGAGGCATTGCATGGTCTTGGCAAGAAAGTTCAACATGCTTCAGTCCTGCAGTATGATGGTTACAGTGGATCAACGGACAGCTGAATGGCCCAGGTTTGGCAAGGCGAAGCTGTTGAGTGGGATCCCACACACGGCAGCGAGGAGAGGCTGCTTGTCGTTGCGGCGAGCATTCTCTTCTCAGGGAGGAGGAAGCTGTTTTGACAACTGGCATTTAATTATATTTATATAATATATAATTTACTTACTGCTTTGGCCTCTTTCTGTGTTAGGGGCCATAGCTACCCAGGATCTATTTGTAGAATCCTAGGAACTATATACAGAATCCCAGAAACTATTTATAGAATCCCAGAAGCTATTTACTGCATTATACTGATACTGGCGTTTTTTTGTTTCCAAACTCCTGGGCCTATTTAAAAAAAACATAGTGAGGCCAAAGCAGTCACCAAACCATCTGTCTACAATAATAGTCGTACGCTTATGGGTTTTGGGCCAGTGTTTTAAGCTACCCCGACTTTTGGTGGTTTATTATTGAACATATGATTCCAATACTCTAAGTTTAAGACCACCAGAAACAATGGTTAGTTCATTTTAGTTTTGCACATATTTTGAAGATATAGT